AAATTACCTTTTTTGGGCAAAATATACATCATGATACTTTACCAACAACTTTAAAAACGTGTACAGCACGGTTACTTCACAGGAATTCAGGGGACACTTATTTGTACTGTTTGTGGTGGTCAGGATTTTTAGCCCAGTTGATTGCGCAATGGCCACTAATTTTGCAGGGCGTTAAGTGGTCATTTGCTTAAACGACGGAAGTAAAATTGTCAACTTCGATTTATATAAATTCAGATTGATGAATTTGCTTCAAACTTGGGATAAATAAATGGGAGCACAATCTGGACATGACCACAGCAAAAAAATCAGATTCGTGCAACAAGAACGACCCTAGAGTGTTCATTTGCAGTCATTCACGTAAACGACACACCAATTTTAACTTACTAAGAGAGTTATGATCAGATTAATGTTTAATCCTTTGCAGAGACAACTGGGACCAGGAATGAGTATCCTGACCCACTGTATCACGGCCATACCTGCTGGTCACTGGACCTCTAACTGTGACTTGACTACATCTAAAGCCTACAACAGCCTGTCTATCTATGAAATGACTACTTTAATTTGGAAAGTCACGTGAGAGTATATGATATTTAATGTTCAATCTTTTGCAGAGACCACCAGGACCAGGAAAGAGATCCTGACCCACTGTCAAGGCCATACCTGCTGGACACTGGACATTTACAATTTATGACCTCTCACTGTAACTACTATCTATAATACTGTTTTAAATTTACCAAGACTGATTTTTGCCTCCTTGGTTAATTAATAATATACTACCTAAACTGTGACTTGACTACATTAAAAGTAGAAAAGATTTTTGCAAAAAGAGTTTTCTTTTGCTGATTCCATAACTCAATTCCTCCCTTTCAAACATCACACACAGCTTACCTGTAGTACATTTCACACTACAGAAAGAGAGCACAACATAATTGCCTTTTCTATGTTCTGTAAAGAAATAGCACATATTTCTAACAATCATTATGTGAAAAAAGTATTTTCCCAAAAGTCCACTCCATCATTGTTTAAGAAGAAAAGTTTGGGGAATGCCTATGAAATTAATCCTGCTTGTTATTTATAGTTGTTTTGTGTTGTTATTTGACAACCTGAGACACTAACATAGGTAAATCACTGAGTCTAGATTTGTATGCTTTTTGTAATACTATGCTTTTGCAAATTCATAATTGCAAGCACATTGCAGTGGAAAAACATACTACATGTAGTAGCAAAGTACGTAAAATCACATTGTGTCGTAATGATTAATAATATATTTTACAGATTTAGAGCGCTCAGGGTCAGAATGGATATTATGATTCAAAGCATAAATTCTTATTCCTTTGATCATGATCACCACAAAAATGTCTCTAATGGTTTTAACAAATCAAGAAGTATTTAGTCTTCCATATAAGCTCCTTGATCTAAATTTTAAACCAAGTTTGACCGTGTTTGAGTGCTTGAAAATTATAATTTTTTTCTTCTTTGAATGTTTTTTTCTTCTATGATTTTTGCTTCATATGATTGTACATTGTCATTTCTTGACACAAAGGATAATTTCTTTTTCAGAAAGAACGTGAAAAAAGGGCAAATCATAATACAGTTTTGTGGTAACAATGTTTAAAACATTTCATATTCCATGCATGTATTCTGGACTTTCCTTGAAAGTTACAAAACTTTAAGCATTTTGTACTGTCGTTATCAGAAAACAATTTTGTCAGATACTAACAAATGCCATTCATCTTGACTGTGTATGTATATCTTCACCGGTAAACATTTACAGCTAGAATTCATGATCATAATGAAATGTCTATTAATTTTATCTTAGATTAATTTATCATTTTGAATGCTTTTATTTGACTAAACATTGCTGCTTTACCGGTATTGATTGTTTTGTATCACCATGTAGATTTTCTTTTCTTCATGTGTCTAAGGATAATTTTCATTATAATAATAGAAATAGTTTTTAAAAGGGTGGATGTGGATCATAATGAAGAAGATATTAGGGAAAACAGTTTGATCACAAATGCTGTTGAAAATATATCCCATTGCTATACAGAATGAAATAACAGACAATATTACAAGTGCTCTCCTCAATAGGGAAATGTACTGTGTTCTCCGTCATATTTGCAATAAAATATGTATTAGTCACAAACTTAAACTAGATATTAGTTAGGAATGTGAACTCTTTCAGAAATGACAACAAAGAGCACTGGGAGGGCCTAGCTGAGTTTCAACAATGGCATTTAGAATGAAAAAATTCAGAGGATCGCAAATATGCCCTTTCCCAACATCTTTCATTGTCATTTTCAAGGGTCTGCATGGGGGATGTCCCGATCACGCTTTGCGCGCTAGGTTCTGTAAGGCAGCGACTGCGATTTACCTTTGTTCAGGTTGGTTTCACGTAGATACATTTGATATCAAATCTTCTACTTCATTAAAGTATGCAAATGGAAAGGTGAGAAATTCTGCAATGCAACGACCCCGTATTACGGTTCACTTAATATACTGGCTGGACGTTTTACTAATCATACAATACGTTTAACGGTGAATAGAACGACCCGGCTTGGCATTATGCAAAACTAAAACGGCTGATTACGCATTGCGGCATGCAGACCCCATTTTTGAAAGAGTTCATAAATAAAAGTAGACTCACAGTCAAGTCCGATGTTCTCTTGTCTCGTAGCTGTGGTGACAGGTCCCTCAGAAACACAGACAAATCCTCCTTGAATATGGAAGAGTGACTGGAACACTGGCAGGTCCTCCAGGAAAATGGACAGGAACGCAGGATAGCTGACAAGTCCCACAATGTCAAGCTTTGGGTGTAAAAGAAATACACATTCAGAAAAATCACTGAGGCTAACTATAACTGTTATAATACAGAGCATCATACATTGCAATATAGTCATCATTTGTTTAAGTTATAAAACCTGCGGAGGCAAGAGTTCATGCTTTGATTAATAGTGAACATTCAAGCAAAGATACACACAGAATATAATGACCACAGAAAATCAATTGAAATACATTTCACATAAAATATCACATCAAGACAATCAATATGACAAGTTAACACACATGTTGACAGAATATTAAAGAAACATCAATTCACTATTATAGACAATGGCAAATTGAATCAGACATGAAATACCTCATTTCAGAACAGTTTACCATTACAACACATGAAATGCATTTCAAACATCAGTTCTAGCACAGCTCATATTGTTGATAGAACACGTTCAATATGGGAAAAGATGGCATACATACATGTATAAACGCCCCACAACGGCCGTTTTACTAAATGCAGTTTTAAGCCTACTCTCCAAGCAGAGGTTTGGGGGCTTTGTATTTTTAGGCTTTTTTATCGGGGTTTCGATGTTTTGTACTGAATTTTTGGTGGGAAACAAAATTCAGTACAAAAGAGAAACCCCGATAAAAAAAGCCTAAAAACACACCAAAAATAACACCAAATCAAAACCTCAGCTTGGAGAGTAGTTTAACTTTAAGCCCAGGGAAGCAAGTCGCCACAAATAATCCACACCATTCTGTGTTTTAGCTTCATTTCAGTACAAATACGTTCGGTCCGAATAGTCACGATTATATAAAGGACAATGTTAAGAGCGACTCACCAGCTAAAACGAGTGTAGTGCGTCTTCGAAGACGAATTTTACCGCAGAGCTCTTTCCCTTCCATCCACACTCCGGCCATCTTCCTGCCGCATGGTTTCACCACCTGATAAGGAATCACCAGAATTTGCATATTCTCAATCAAGTAATTAGATTAGATTAAACACCGGTGTGATCTTGCCACCTGTTAATGAATCATCATAATTTGCATTTCTTTGTTAAGCTTTATAACGTTAAATAGACCAACACTATTTTCATTGTATCATTATTTGCCTTACAAATATATCATTCAACCTATAAAATATCCACTCAATCGTTTATTTCAATAAATGACAGCATTACAGTTGGCTTTAACGGGTTTAAATGAGTGTTTGAGAAACGTTAAAACTTTGGGTATTTTTTCGCCCTCTGTGTAACTATAACACCCTTTCCCTGGCACCCTCCCCTTCCATCAATTTCTTTCAGAAGGCTAGAATCTTTCTTTCATTGTCATTTCCCCTAAATTAATAGAGCGTTGAATATCTCTATCTGAACTAATAAGGTTTAAAGAATAATCAAACGGCGTATCACTTACCTTTCTAGAAAGAAACCCTGCTTCTATAGTTCTGACACGTTAAAATCGCGATGGATCAAAAGCGCCACACAGCGGCGATAAAACATCACTGCAGTAATGAGAGCAACTGAGCCAACGTATTGCTTCGAAGGTGAAGTGCAGTTCATGGATCAAAAGCGGCCCCTAGCAGTCTGCTGCAGGACTGCAGTAATACGTTGGCTCAGTTGCTCTTATTACTGCAATGATGTTTCATCGCCGTTGTGGGGCGCTTTTGATCCATGGCGATTTTAACGTGTCAGAAATATAGAAGCAGGGTTTCTTTCTGAATAGAGAATTAAGTGATAAGGCAGCAGACTTAAACCTTATTAATTTAGATAGAGAAATTCAATGCAATAAATCTAGGGGAAATGACAATGAAAGAAAGATTCTAGCCTTCATCATCATGTGACCTGGATGATATGAGTATATTTTATGAAAGTTTTCCCTTGTTGAATAAATTGTTTGCTGAGCTGGATTATTCAAAGCCTGTACATTTACACTGTTTCAGAATGTGATGAAGGAATGGACGCCAGATAAGATCCTAGTTTGGCGCGCCCCGTTGTACTTGGCTGATTGAAACAGAACTTCACATGTGAACTGGACAACAAACTTTATTTACAAACTTTCAAGAACCAATAAACATGGGATGGTCTACATCCCTAGATATCTCTATAAACAACAACTAATGCGCTAACCTGTCACAAAACAAAAGAAAACAAAAGCAAATTTGTCTAACATTGCTTCAAGAGCCTATAATGCTTTAATGTTACATGACTATTCTACCTCTGGTTAAGTCATGATGGCAACATTTCTAAACATCATCTTACTTTGCCATTGGAAAAAGGTATACATTGTACATTGTATTTCATATCAGTCCATCCTTTTTTTTCAACACTTTGGCAACAAATGGATTGTCACGAGACTTTTTTCCAACTTCTGTAAGTTGAAGCGAGCTCCTTTACTACAATGACATTGATAAAGAAACAGTGCATAGAAGTGCGTAAGGAAAGTTACAAGGAAACCAACATGTGTAACATGTATTCACACAATGCAAGCCTCTGATACTCTACAAACACAGTTAAACATAAAATAAGCTAAATGTGCTAAATGTTACAAAAGCCACAAATTTTCCAACAAATCATACGTCAAGGAATGTCTGTATACAATGTTTGAAGTTAGCAAGAACACCTTGGTTTTGAAGAGCAACCATCACCTCAAAAGTGAGATGACATCATAGGTTTCTGTGGCATGATATTAAGCAAGAAAACAATTCAAAACAGATCCATTCTGTCTTTGCTCATAGATCAATAAGTTCAAACACAATCATAAACTTTTCCTGCCATCACCCTTTCTTAGGTACCACACAGTCATGTCTTGTGGAATGTGAAGAACAGAAGGTTGCAGACTTGCAGTTGAAATATAGATAGAAGATACAGCTCCTTTGCAACTAAGTTCCAGCTAGTAACAATTATGTGTATTATGTGGCTGTGCCTGTGACAATACAGTCACTAAATTGATCACTGTTTGTCAGATATTTATCCAGCAAACCTTCAAACATTGTTTGATATTGCAAGATGGTATCGTTATCCACAGAATCATAACTTTACTGTAATAAAATGGCCATTTAAATTTGTTACTTTACTACACAAATCTGGCCATAGTGAAATTAGGCAATTGGAATAATGTGATAAAGCTAGATACATGTTAGTAACATTTGCACACTTCTTTAAGTTTGAACATGACACAGTTTCGAAAGAAGTTTGCAAAACTCTTCCTCATGTGATGTGCTGGGTCAGTAGAGGATGGGAGGAAACATCCTTTCTTGTGTCCTCTCCAGGAGTCTTCAAGACTAGAACAAAAAGAATGGCAGAGTTAAGATTTTATTCAGTAGTACAAACTTTCGTATCTTCCAGGAGACAAAGGGAACAATGGAGTTTATTTAGGCTCAGTAGTTTTATAATATTCTTCCCCTACCAGTTACACTACAATAAACTTCAGCCATACTCTGGAAGTCCTGAGGAGGTTCATCACTACTTTATTACAAGACAAGAATTAGATTATTAGGCTGAGGATATATCAGTATATAACGCATGCTGCTAATCAAAGTACATTGTATTTTAGTTTTAAGAATTCATGGAAAATGGGTTCTCTAGTCTTGCAGAAATTTTACTGTTCTATAAAGTGCACATTACAGTATTTTCATCATTACCATTGAAAAGCTTGCTATGCAAATTCCTTTCAATGGTGAAATTTTTAATGTACGCAGAGTACAAAGAAGGATGGGGGAGGCTCATTTTGGATGCAACAGTAGTCCGCAGCCTTCAAGATTAGGAAGGGACATGGTGAAGTTGAAATTAACACCTCTGCCATTGAAACCATGTAGTAGTGTAGTATTACTTCTGAAGGATTGAAACCAAGTGCATTCTAAACTATGTGTAACACAATGCAATTGTTTTGCTTGGCAAGGTGTGTTAAACCTAAAACCATAACCAATAGTGACAAAGTATTCACATTTCAAGGCATTGTATGGCATGGTGTTTAAAACAATCAGGATTTAAATAAAGTTTTAACTTTAATGGTTATGCTCTTTGCTTCCAGATGGGACGGTTAACTACGTCACTCTGTCTACCATTTTTTTGTAAAACTTTTAACATGTTACATTTAGACATCCTCGCATCAGTTACTTGATACTATTGTCTATTCAACACTAAACCAATGACGTAAATAAGGGCTGGGGAACTCCACCCGCCATCTTGAGATTGGGAAAGCAGAAGTTAAGAAGCTTCGTTGGAAGTCCTTTGCATACCAGAGCACAAAACATCCAAAAAAGGTCTGTAATAAGCCTTTTTGCTATGCTGTACCCTAACAGTAGAATTGAGATATCTGACGGAGCTAAGTATAAACTCCTCATAACAAGGAAATTCCATGTTACTTATTTGTTAACATTCCGCATACTAACTTGTAGTAACAGCAATGTGCTCTTCCAGTACTAATCCCCTGCATGGTTTTGGCTTGTTAATGTATGTCTTCACTGCATGAACTTTGTACTGACTGTATATATGACTGTCTACATTGTGTAGCTGATTTGCACAATCTTTCAAGTAACGGTAGTGCATTTGAACCACAGTACAAAGAAAGACAGGCTCAGACTATCATAAATCACATTTTGGCTTCAAGTGAGGTATATTTCCCTTAGCAATGGTTATCACAGAACCAAAGCCCTGAAAATGAACATTCTGCTGCCAATAGTGCTGTTTGGTGCCAATTACATATGAGTTATGCTGCTTTATTTTATATCTTGGATATCTTGGGCACCTAATTTGCATACCCACGGCGGTCGGTTGCTGGGCTAAAAGTCACATTACTAGCTATAGGGAGGTATTGGGTTACAGAACGTGTTCGAACATGGCCGCGTGGGAGTCCCGCCCGGCCCGGGGGTAACGGGTAAAATTTAAAAATTAACAAAAGTAATTGTAGAGTAAATACTCGTCAACGAAGTGATTTTGTTTACCTTAAATGTTATTCTTCCACTGCCTTTGCTCAACTTTGTGTCTTTTGCTTCCAAATGAGATCAATTTCGGATTTCAAAAAGGGTTCACGAGAACCAAACAACTGATTTTAAGGGGCCCCAAATATAAAAAGTAAGGTTTGATTTGGGATTTTTAGAAATATTGCAGTAGGTTTAAACTTTATGTCCTAGGATTCTTTTATTTTTCAACTAAAACTTGAATTACAACCCAAAAAAGAGCTAAAATCACAGTTTTTTCAACTTTAAATAGCGATAATTCATTATGGCAGCCATATTTAAAAAATCGTTGCTCTCCCAAACAAGCCCTCAATGATATAATTTGAACAATTTTTGGGAGTGGTTAAAATACCATGTTTGCATGCATGTGATGCTACTTGGATTTGGGGACCTGGATTTTAAGAGCGTCAACAAGAATTCTGACCTTCAAGGTCACCCACGATGACGGCAGTAGCTTCGTTACATGTTACATATCCACTATAAAATCACGGCATAGATGTAATGTTTTGAAAACGGTTCATATTTGTGGAAAGGTTGATTTTTCCTGTTCCGTGGTTCCCATGTAAAAAAGGGCTTGAAGTAGCAGGTTGTAGCGGGTTTTCTGTAAATGACCGCGGGTAACCCTGGATTGAACGCCTGTTCGGTTCAAATGACGTCATATCGAACAAGATTTGCAGATTCGGGGAGTTCGATCTCCATAGTAGCAGAGTGGGACTTTTGGGCCCAAATCTGACCATCATGACCATTTTGTCCCACCTGGCCCCATCACCCGTAAAAATGATCAAGGGACATCAAACTATCTATATATAGAATTTGTCTAATTGTGCGTGGACAGGGTTTCTCGTCCTGGCCTAAATGTCAGGAATCTTTCATAAGTATTTGAGAAAGAGTATGTTAGTTGAACACACACCACTAGTACTTAACCAGTGGACTAGCCTCTTGCTGTAGTGATTGCGCAACTGTGGCTGGTGATTGTGAAACTGTGTGGCTGAAGGTCTGTTGAACAAACAGGACTGCCCTATTCACCACGTGGTGCTGAGAGGACTTCAACTTTTAACAAGTTTATAATTTGTCTCACTCGGTTGGGTTAAGGCGGCCTAGGCTGATATTCATGTTCGAGTTCGGGCGTGTGTCTGCACGATGGCCACAGACATGTTTCGAACCCGAATCACGTTCCACCATGTTTGATATGACGTCATTCGAATAGAACGCGTGTTCGAATTCGGGGTTACCGACGGTCATTTGTATGTTTCCCCTGTAAACCCGCGTTGTTACGCATTTTATTCACGGAGTATGACATAAACGGCTTTGCGCGCAGCTGAAAACAACATAATTGATCTTTAGAGTAATCCATCTTAACGTATCACTTTTTTATCAAAATTGTCCGAGGCTATTTTGCATATAAGTCGATATTTTTTAACTGTGGCGATTTTTTAACGAAAAATGACAGAAAAATAGCTGTTTCTGTTGTTTTTGGCCCAAAAAAACAATGTAACTGTCATTTAAAACAAAATAGCCTCGGACAAAAATAATAAATAGGGGGTTGGCTTTCTACTTGTAAAATATCATGTTGAAAGGTGTTGTTACCGCTTGCGCGTAAAGCCATGAAGTGAACAGCTTTTTTTTAACCAAAATGTTGATTTTTAACCCAAAAATCCAGAAGTAGTAAAAACAAAATAACCTTTATTCAATGTGTTTCAAGTACTACTAGAACTGTGTGAAGTTTAGTTGTGGTGCGACCAAGCTATCAAAAGTTACAGACATATGTATGAAATACTACTCATAGTATGCCATAGGCTGCCTTAACCCAACCGAGCATGCAGCATGGTGAAAGATATCATTATAACTTTCTTATACTTTAACTGATTACAAATCTTGTTGTCTCTCTCATTGTCCTTCATATATTCCATTCATTCTTGTTGCTCAGGAAAAAGATGATTCTACCAGCTGCATTATTCATCATACTTCAAGTATTTGGTTATCTGTGCACAAATTCACTGGCAACACCCTTAATAAGTGAGTGTTTGTATGTGTTGATGGTATTCTTGAAGTAATGTGTGATGTAAAAGTCAGCTGAAGATCAATATCACATAATGTTATACACTGTATTTACAATTTGGTGTTATTTGTGTAATCAATGTGGAAATTCTATGGCCTCCATTAAGGTACCATTTATCTGCCAGGTTACATACATCCACCACTGATGAAAAACAGAGAGATGTGCAGCACCCACAGGAATGCACAGTAATTATATGGAGGGGGTATCATACTTTGGGAGGCTGCATCCAGGAGACCTGTTTATTTATTATTATTTTATTTATTCAATTAGATGCAATTTCCAGACATACATGTATGCAAAATGAAATTTTGATTACAAATTTAAAAGACATAATTTGTAAAGTTAATGAGAAAATGTTATGCTGTTGTTGTTAATGTAAGAAATGTTACATTATACTATTAGCGACAAATTTGAAAGTTTTTCTTTATCCTGACCACTTGCCTTGCCTAGGGTTCTACGATGGGAATGTATCCTTACCACTATACATCACAAACGTGCAGAATGACTACAAGTACATCTGCCTGAGGGATACTAGTAACTTCTTTGAAAGAGCTTGTTTGGAAACAAATGGCACGAGGAGCTTCCGCATTGAATATAGCAACTATGATGGTACAGATACAGATACAGATGGTAAAATTATACAACATACTTTTTTAATATGAAAATGGCTTTTAACTAAGATAGAAGCTTCACATGTATTTCTTTAAAGTTAATTCACTCCTTAGTGATAAAGCATGTAGAAGCAATGGTGGGTTTGGGGTACATGTATGTGTGCACAAGGAACATCACAAAGGGATGCCCTATTCTGCATCACAAAAATGATCGCATTTTAAAGCATAAAATTATCTGTAAGACTGTAAGACCCCGTTCATACCAGACTTTAAAAAAAAACAGTTGAAACCACTAAATAATTGGCGAGGGAAAACCTGACTAAAAATTCTAGCGTTCATACTAGACTTAACATAACCGGTTTTGTAAAAATCCTGTCCGGTGAATATCCAATTAATTGGCCGTGATAATAATGCAGTCTGCAATTCCTCCCGCTCTTCCGATTGTTGTCCTTGGCCTTCTTGTATGTCGTCTTCAGGTTTTTCATCTTACCGTGGCACTGCTCTGTTATCTTCAAGAAATCAACTTGACTGAAATTTACAGGTATTACTAAACATTTTTGTTTCGGTACAGCTCCCCCCCCCCACAGCTTTTTTGGCGACTCCTGCTGTCCAAAAATAGATATCAGGAGCTTGGTCCTGCCCGCCGACCAGGTTGCATAAAAAATTATGCTGATTCCATCGCCAAATTAAGAAAAACCATGAAAAAAAAAACAGTGGAAATGAACTCAAAACAACGCAATCAAAAAGCTTGGAGGTCACACACGGCCCAGATGCTGACCCTGTGAACCTGGAATTATGACGTAAAAAAACGACCAGGTTTTCGGCGGGAAAAAAACTCAAAAACCCTACGTAGTACCAAAGAGGTTGTTTTTAAAAATTGGATTTAAACCCCTAAAAACCAGTTGATTTGCATTCACACTACTAAATAAAAACCTGTTTTTGAAAAACCGGTTGAAACCGCTAAATAAAAGTCTGTTATGAACGTGGTATTTATTGCTTTCTGATGCGTGTCCTCATGGTAGTCATGACTTTTTATGTAAACTTTGAACATAAATCTGTACTTTCACATATATTGTACATTATATAATATATTATATCTTCCTTTCTAGGTGAATTTACGCAGTCCTGTGAAGGAAACAATAATTCTGTCAACGGCATCGCCGTGTTATTTGTAGTTACTGTAGTAATTGCAGCATTAGCTGGAATGCTGGCCGGTGCAGTCTTGTCCTACTGGTACTTTTACGAAATGGCTGAGGATAGGTGTAAAAAAAACCAAGGTAAGTGAATAAACAAGCAATGAAATCATTTAAAACAATACTTGTCTCCTGCAAATTTAGGCATTATTTGCTCCTACCGTGACACGTTCTTGAGTAAATCTTACGCTAACATAATTATCATCCAGCCCATATTTACTATAATTGTGTTATATGGGCTAAGCCTTATATTATGGTACATGCATTTTTTTAAAAGTCTCACATAGGATAATATCCAAATGATAAGCTGTGTGGATAAGAAACCTTTGAATCTGGCTAAAAGTGGACTTTGATCTGTGTTGTGTACATATATGTACCATATGATGTATTTATAATAAAATTGTTGCTCAGGGAATTATCAACTGGTTAAAGATGAGGTATTAGATGTATAATAATTGACACATTGTCAGTATTTCTATGAGAAATTTACCTTCACTAATTTATCTATATTACTAAGGCCATACCAATTTAATTTGTTGGTTCTGGGATTTTTTCATAAAAATATGAAGCAGGAGGGCAAAAAAATCAAATAAAAACAGGTCTAGGCATCCTATTATAGCCCAAAATGCTACAAAAGGAGCCATAAAGTCAACACAAAAGGCTGGGTTAAACAATGAATTTTGAACTTTTAATCAAACCACTGCATTGATAAATGGAAAAACTGTAGGAACTAGGAAGAAAAGCACTTTCCTCTACTGTTAGGGGCAAAATACAAGCATTTTTTTAAGATTTAAATTCAGAACCAAAATCTTTTTTTTTTTTTGCAAATTTGAAAAAAAAGAAGAGGTGATCATGAATCTGAGAACCAACAAATTAAATTAGTGTGGCCTAAGTATATTTTGGGCTTACCTCATATCAAGTTTGTACATTTACAATCTTGCCATCCACCAAAATGAAAATACACTAGAACATAGTATACAAAATCATGACTGAATGTGCAAAATTTTTGTGCCAATAAAATCAACCAACTCTACTTTCATGTCAGTCTCGGCTTTGTATGATGGTCAAATCAGTCGACCAGGATCCGGAGCAACAGTTCAGAGCAGACCATCAAACGCCACAGTACAGAGCAGACCACCAAATGCCACATTAAGAAGGCCGCAACATTCCATGGTGAGATCTAGAGAATTTCTAATTTAAAAACTAAGCTTTTTAAAACCTTTCAAAATTCTTTCCATTATGCAATAACTTACAAATGTACATGTATATATAGCCACGATGAAAACAATTCAGTTTATAAACACAATGAACAATACCTTGTGATTTCAGGTCCCTCCAATTTGATAAAAATAAATCTTTAAGTTTGTTCTCTGATTTTTTGGAAAATATTGGAGTGAGTGAAATAAAAGACAAATAGAATGAGGCAGATAGACCAAAATACCACCAAAGGAGCCACAATTTAGCCAACATATCAGGCTGGCTAACATTTAAAAAATCATAAATGTACATGTAAGAAAACTACAATAACTGTAACAAAAAATTGTATCAGAGATTTCAGACCTCTGGGAAAGGTTTCATGATCATCAAATTATTTTATATCATACCCGGGCCGCGATAACGTTCGATAACGGGTTCCGGACCGGGCCGTACTTTACGGTACGGCCTGGGCTCCATGGCTTCCATAGAACAATTCGAACGCGTTCTGCCATAACTGCGTGCGCCGCTTGAATACAGGATCCGAATGTTGGAACTGATGTTGTTGCATTTGAGGGTTTAGGGGCACCAACTTTTGGCTCATCTTGCATTGAAAGGCGTGTTTTCTTGGGTGGGCCTGGGTATGACATAAATAAAATACAACACGGTGTATTCCGCATCGTCCTCGGTCCCGGCCCACCCGCGGTCGGGCCGATACCTTGGGCGATACGGAATACCCCGTGTTGTATTCTATATATATATTAAGGACTTTCTTCAACTGTATGTAGTATTTTGCATGATTATTGTTTCTTTTGAAATTCTAAAACAGAAAAATCGAAGCTAACGTGGCAAATCAGAGAGCCAAATGGCAAATCAGAGAACCAAGAAATCAAATTCAATTAGTGTGGCCTCAGCCTGAAAAAGTCCCTGTGTTTCATGATCTGTAATACACAGGTACTGAGTCCCAGAATCAATCTCCAAGGCAACGGGACAATGGTAAAAGTGAAGATGGATACAAAGGCAAGTTATCATTCATTATTTACAAATTTTTAAAATGAAGTGTCAATACAAGTTATGTTAGGAAGTTTTATCTGAAATAGATCTACTGTAACAGTAACTTAACTTTTCATCTCTGTAACTTTTTAGCTCTCAACTGATCTCTTTGATATAAATTGATGCTCACTGCAACTTTGTTCCTGTTTGTTCCGGGGATTGCGTTCGATCTGTATGTGCATGATGTCTCATGACTTAATTCTCAACCAGGATAGATGACAGTCACTTATGATACTTGGATGCTTATTGATTCACACTTACTCTGGATGACCTCATTGCATTGTCTCAGTCTATCTCTTCACTCTAGGTTGCTGAGCATTTGACTCTTAAATAAAATGTTGATTTAGATGATTGGCATTACTCATGTTACAGTCTCACACACATTTTTTTTCCAGAAACAATACCATCATCCAATCAACTTTCTAAAGTGTCTTAAACTAAAAAACTCTCCCTGACATACATTTATTTCAGATTGACTCACACAATGGATCCCCCAGGTTCATACAAGCAATCTTACACAAAATGGAGCATGTTAAAGACCAGGTCAAAGCTGTTGCACTTAGTGGTATGTCCATCCTCATTTACATTGACTCATGTTTATATCTAACACTAAGAATTTTTTTTAATATCCTGATATAATTTTGTGCAGGAACTTCGAGTTAGGCCGCACTCTGCCATGGCAACATATTATGAACAAGAAAAAATGAGTTACAGTAACTGTAGCTGCAGCAGGATTTAGACAACGTTATCTCAAATAATGTCTCCAGTCCAATATAAGAGTTCCATGACCTCATACCTTTTCTAGATGATGTTAACATTTACAATTGATGAATGATTATGTAAATAAAACACTCAGTTGCATGAATTATATCAGTTGATCAATGACAGTCTTATCTTAGCAAAGAAATCTAGACTCAGCATTTCTTCAATACCGGTACATGTACTAGTACATTGTACATAATGCACATACATGGCTTCACCAAGGTTACAATTTTTGTTAGCATCATGCACACACGCGCGTGCATGCACACAGTCACACACACACATTCAAAAATTGTAACCATGCTGAAGGTAGAACATTCTGTATGATTTATTCATTACAGAGCATATCACACCCAAGAGATATGACTGCTTCATCATCTACTGTGGGAAGGATTCTGCAGTCGTCAATGGAATCATCATCCCACGTCTGACCGAGCTTAAGATTACCTACTGTGAGCACCAAGAGCACTTCATTGCAGGACGTGACATTTTCACCAACATACAAGACTGTATCTCACAGAGCAGGAAGATACTAGCTGTATTTTCTGAAGATTTCTTTGCTAGTGACTGGTGTCGTAAGGATTTGGATATGGCCATGGTACATGCTACTGAGAAGCAAATTGAGCATTTCATTGCTCCAATCAAGATTGACGACTGTGTCATTCCTGACAAATATGGTGATTTGAAGAACATCACTTATTCTGATCTAACAAGCTATCCCAAAGACTGGGGTGAGCAGATTAGGTGTTCCCTGGCAAGTATCCGTGTTGCTTCAATGGAAATGGAAATCTGCATGTGTACAACATCTGCAGATTCCATTTAACAGTTCTACTGCAAATACTTGGATGTAATACTGAATGTGAAAACACCAACACATGGACTATTCTTAGCCAAATTGAATGATGAATTGGCTAATACCACTGTGACAGTAGTACATCCCAATAAGTCTCAATAGAGCATTGAGAAGAGATATCCATGAAACTGGTATTTTCATGATTCTGCTTTAATGTCATGTCCTAAATGTTTCATGACATTAAGTCAGACACTTTGGTCAACACAAATAGAGTCAGTATGCTTTGACATTTAACTTGTGGACTGCTTACGACTACAGGACTTACATGTACATTGTATCTGTCTGACTGAGTGAGTTTGCCTATTGAGTTATGACATAGTCTTAGTTGTTTCTGCTTGAGTTGCAGCAATATCTGAGTGTGTCTATTCTGTATCTATACAGAATAATACAGAAATCAAGCTGGAATACTTTGAATCAAACTCAGTTCAAAGTTTGAAATTCAATATAAAAGTGTAACATACAATACACTCTATAAATGGATGACTGTTTGGTTTCTTTTTTTGGTGGGCTTTAGAGTGCTTGCAACTGGCAAGAACTTTCTGCAGCTGGAAGTTTGTACATAGTATTACATGTATTATACATAACATACATAGTGTCATGAATCATGATCATAGCATAATTACCCTCATTTCTGCTGTTGACTATTTTTATGAAGATCATAAGCCACAGAATTAAACCTGCAAATGTTACATTTAACATAGCTTTATGTGACATGGGTGGGCCTTGCTGGAGTTAGGAGTTACTAATAAGCATTGTAGTTTCAAAGGACATCAATTACTTTTTAATAAATATTAATATCAGCAAGGTGTATAATGTCCTTGATATCAAGAAACTAATGTGTGTTAAGTAGACAAAATGGACAAGAATTTCCTGATTTGTAAATTAAGTCAATCTAGTGGAAGAAAAGTTTTAGTGTTTGAATTTTTTTCCCAGCATTACACTTTCTGTGGAAACATTGAAAATGTTACAGTTAGTGATACAAGAGTGCAGTTGTATCTGCAAGGCTGTATATATCAGTGCTTGAACTTACTTATACTTTGAATATACTAAACTTAAAGTCAGATAAAATTAATGAGATACTTAGTATTCAAGTCATGACATCATTATTCAGACATGCCTTTAAGGTATTTTGGATAAAGTACTAGTAATGTTCACATCTGGTATATTATTGTATAGAATATGGTATTAACAACACTTATATGTCATAAATTAACACATTTTTTGTATATACAGTAATTTTCAAGTTTCCAAATGCTGGGATAGTGTACATACACACATGTAAACATCAGTGGTAGTTTTGATTTGGAATTGGATGTGCTTTTCATGTGTGTGTGTCAGCCAGCAGGTTTTCATGCAAAACAATTGACAAGTCCAAAGCTGTGTTTGCATTATCACCTGATGACTTGAGAGTGATTAAAAAGCAAAAAGTACAAAACTGCGTTGTTGTACTCTTTTCTGATACTACAAGAATTTTATTATTTAACAATTCATGTTATTATTATGATCATCCTTATATCTAATATATCTAGTAGTAAGGGCAATAATTAGCTTTAGTTGATATGTTGAATGTTGAATTGAGGAAAAATGTTTGTCAAATACTCTATAAATTGCTTTTGAAATGCAAAGGGATTGTGTGATTACTTTATGAAATAATAGTAGCCTGGGTGCCGTCCAATTTTCTACAGGCCTTCTTGTACATTGTAGTACTACTTTTTTCAGGCTAGGGAGTGCAATCAGCTGGCACCCAGGATTAATAACACTTACTCAATACTTCAAAAAATCATACTACTCAATACTTTAAAAAATCATACTACATTCCATAGTATTTAACCATTATAATAGTACGTATTAGTACAAAAAGTTATTGCCAAGTTGTCCATACCTGGTATACCATGGTGACATTCTATAGTATTTTACTATAGTACGTGTTAGTACAAAAAGTTATTGCCAGGTTGTCCATACCTGGTTACCATGGTGACAAACGTCTGGTTCAGGTCAATTTGACCTTATTTGTTTGGAGGAGAAGAAGAGGAAGAAGATTAACAGAGCAAAAACAAATTGTTTTCATTCTGCGAAGGTAAACATAACAAGTTGTTACAAGTTTTGACTTGCATGTAAGCTTACACACTACCCAAAGTACCTGCATGTAAGTGAACACATCCTATATTGCAGCACTGTTTGGGACCAGGGAGGTAAGGGGCACATGATAGACACATTACAGAAGCTACAAAATAGAGCGGGCAGGGCAGTACTGGGTCGTGACCGCTACACCTCCAGTGCAACTGTTCTGAACTTGTTAGGCTGGACCTCTGTAGCACAGCACCACAAACGAGCCAAGGCTATATAAATTTTAATAATTCTTATGTTTAAGGCATTTAATGGAATGTCACCTCCACACATCTCTCAACTATTCACAACATCTGCCGGTACCCCCACACACAACATCCAACTAAGCACTTCAGCTGCCAAAAGCTCGCTTGCAGTCATCGCTTTCTTTTCCAGTTCAGTGCTCTGGAACTCACTTCCTCCTCACGTTATTAATACAAAAACTCTCCGTGTCTTTAAGACCGCCTTTTCGTCACTTAGCAATTAATAAAATGATTTCTTTGTTGTTAATTTTGCATTTTGTTCATAAACATTGAGATGCAAATTCAGTTCCATTATCAATATTATTTACATCATTTGTCATATTTATTATGGCTTAACATATTGTTATGGCTACACCACACTATATGTGGTAAACTTTCTAGTTTAGTCTGTTTTCTGTACTTTATTATTTTGTTCTGTTTCTTTTATTATTACGACCATGAGTTAGTTTACACCTTTTCTTTTTTATGTTACCGGTATATATATTTTGTGCAGGGAGCTTTGAAAACCAGCAAAATGGCGATATGCTGCCCCTGCATAAATAAATAAAAATGTAATGAAAAATGTATGTACATGTGTCTAGTCCCTCACCTGACCTTGTCAAGGGGGACACACCTAGTTGGTATTATAATATGATACAAATGGATTGTGACGTAACAAAGCAAAACAATGACGTCACGGGACTTTCCAGGCGTGATGGGAAGGTGAAGCCATTAGGACATACGCAGTAGAAAATTCAAAGCACTTCTGCGGTAGTCTGAGGTTGACAATGAGCACACCTGCTACTCTACCACAGTCGTCAACATGCCGTTCCCATGCACACGGCAACAATGGGTTAGTTGAGAGCTTCTTTGCCAAGTATATTTATTGTATTCTGCTAAGTATGCAGGGAAACTATACTTGGATTATCTGACAGAAACTGTGCCTTAAACGGGTCTGCCTAAATACCTCAACCGACCTCAACCGACCGCGTAATGGGTTAATATGCAGTATACATGGGTCAACAACCTTTCCCAACGCTCTGGATACATTGTCTATGCTTGATTGAATGAAATTTAAAAGCATGAAGGGATGGACATCCAACTATTGAAATAAATTATCTGTCTAGCCACCCCCCAAAGTTCGTTGTTTGGTTCCGCGGAGCGTTCCTCCTTGAGGTCAATGGAGGTCAAGCCGGTAGGCGTACGTGCTTAGCAGCTTGGATGTCAGGCTGGAAAACACTCTATAGTATATATAGCTATTATGAGTTGGCTATGATGGTATTTGTGCTTTACTATGATTTATAAACCAACATCTTTGCGTTCTGTTGCCTGTATAAAGCAAAAGGTGTCCAACGCGCGATCCAACTTGGCGGCCATGAAAAAGCATTCTAAAGTCAAACCAGAGGTATAACTTTTAAAAACTGGTAAATACGTCAAAGTTACAGAGAGTGTTTTTTCCATTCATACAAGCATAGACAATGTATCCAGAGCGTTGGAAAAGGTTGTTAGCCCATACATATACTGCATATTAACCCATTAAGCGGTCGGTTGCGGTCGGTTGAGGTATTTAGGCATACCGCCTTAAACTTGACATAAAATCATGTCTCAACTTGGCATTTGACAGTGTACAGCCAGTCTACAATGTTAATTGCCTTTTGGCAAAACGCACCAGCTTTGAAGGCACACAGCACAGCACAGCAGCAGATGATAGGTCCTTATTCTAGTGGGTCAACATTGAGAGATAGACAATAGCAAGTTTTTATGAGACCTTCAACCTGTTAGAACATCTCTAGAACATGGAGGAGAATTAACATGATGCCATCTGGAATCATAGTTATAGATGTGTAATTATGTACCACAATAACATCATGCACTGAAAGTGAAACTTGTTGTTTTCTAGGGGACATCTGTGGTACAGCGGCGCATCAGATTCTGTGGCATTGTACATGTACTGCTTTGCGGTGGTGTTGTTGCAGGCCTAATTACATATATAGTAGGTCTTACATCAAAACCACAACCAGGTACAAATAGTTTTAGTTTTTGGCATAAACTGTAGCAATTTGATGCCATAAGTCTTGTACAGTTTCACGAAAATGTAACAAATGTGGTCATCTACATGTATTACCGGTAAATATGGACTATTTAGCAGCCAGATAATCATATCATGCTCTTCAATTCAAAAGCCATAATGCAATTCTTTCCACCTAAAGGCCTGCAATGCTTAGTCTATAGCGAGTACTGAATACTGTATTACTATTAGGTACGAATTAATGTCATTGCCTGAAATGTCAGTATTATAACAGTTTACTATGTTAACTATGTAAACTATATAATACAGCTAATGACCCATACCTGACATTTCAGTTTTATAACAGGTTACTGTGTTTATTATAATACAGCTAATGGCCCAGGTATCCAAACACTACTGAATACCAACCTTCAGCTGAACATACCTATAGATGACACACACATCTGTCTCCATCATGATGGCCAGAGTGGGTGCATACAACTGAAACATCATGGAAACATCACCCTCCGCATGACAGTGGAAGGAAGAAGTATGTTTGAGGGGTGTCCTTAAGTTTGGACTAATACAGAAACAACCAGAAAATTGACTTTTGGTATTATCCTTAGCTAATGTATTAGAATTATTTTTTATTTACTTTATTTTTTAGAATCTTTTTTTTTTTTTTGCAAATCAGAAAAAAATCAAGAGGTGAATCCGAGAACCAATAATTAAACTGGTGTGGCCTTAACTTAAGTCGATATTCAATTATACTCTCTTTATTAATTTTCTAATTTTAATTATTTCATTGTTTGTTGCATGTATAGAGGTCTTTGATTTCCCTCTCGGACATATTGAAAAATTGAAATATATTATTTCTAGCTGGCTTTTCCACGATCCATTTAAAGCTCATTGATTCATCAGTTAGTTGCTCTTTCAGACTATTGAAAACCAGATTTCTTAGCCTTTTTCGGGTGTTGTAAATTACATCACCATGACACATTTTTTAAAATCTTTGTCTCTTTTAGCACCAGTTCACCATGGCTTGTCTACTGCTGCAATTGGATTTCTCTTGATGGTGTCATCTATTGCTGGTATTGTGATACTGGGGATAGGCTTTGGATGTTACATTGCATTCATCTATCTGATCAGCACCATTTCTTCATGTACATGTAAGTTACGGTAACTCGTTGCCACAGTTGTGCAAAAAGACAATTCCTTTAACGTAGTAAGTGCTCTCTGAATTTGTAAGGAATTTCTTTGAAGCCTACTGAGACCGAGTCTGAGGAGCTAAGTTGCTCATCATCTTGTTTAAAGTCAGAACAAGGTACATGTAATACTATGTGTTGTGATTAACTAGCTGTTTATTCATAACTTTCAGAATTGCCCTGCTTGTAAAGATAAAAAAAGTAGAACATGTAGAGCTTGCCCCCCCCCCCCACTTTCTTTACCTTGAAGCTCTTCATTACATATGAACTGTTATCAGAAGCTGGAACCATTTCAACTTGTTGGCTCTAATTTGATTTCTACACTCAGGTTTTTCAAAGAATGATGACCTCTCCATCATGGAAGATCAACCACCACAGAGTGTCTGCCAGAGGGTAGGAAAATATTCAAACCACATGAGCATTCACCTGTATGCAAGTATTGTAGCACATTGTTACATGTACATGATATACATATGTTCAGGTTGGAATTATCATTATGATATAAAAAAAGACAGAAGTCATACATAAGAGGTCGATGACTTCATACCTAATTTTAATTCGTCATCTATGACTTTGGTTTGTTAGAAATGTTCTGCTGTACATAGTTTGACTTTTATTTTGTTGGTACATGAACCAATGCATGGATGTGTGATTCATATGTCGTAGTACAGAAATATTGATTTATTGATTTATTGAGATGCCCTTTAGCCCATGAGGGGCTAATCTTCCAGGGCTCATTAACAGTACAACACATAAAATACAAGCACTGAATACATACAATCATTGCAATTACAATTTACACATTAAAATAATTGAGGTTGAGGCCAGAGGTCATTTAACTAATTATGACTAAAATCAACAATAAAACTTGTGAGTTACTAAATTGCTTCAAATATATACAATATTGTCAGGGTAAGCCTTTAAGTTCCATAAAGCTGACGTGTCATTTTCCTGAACTGCCTCTCAAAAATACATGTTACACAAGTTCGGAAATTTTCCGACATAGTCATGATGCTTAATGTCATTGTCGTCACTACTGGGTGTATTTTTGCGGGTTTGGAGTGCTGTGGAGTTTTCATGTTGGTGGTTTCATTGACTTGCATGCTACTGGGAAGAGTGGCAGTCCTTAGGGTCTACTCCTTAGGGGGACATTAAGCCGGCGTCTACTGTTTATGTGCGCATTGGGAATACATGTGTATGTCCACAGACATGTCCACATATGTCCCTGTGTTTCGTGATCTTAACCCTTGTCCTGCAAAGCACAACAATTGTTGTTCTGCACATACAGTACCATCTATATAGCACCCTGTATATATGTAGGTACGATTTGGGGGTATTTCTTGTGCAACGCATCACACTGCAGCGAAACGCAACAAATGCAGAAGTAATGGTATGATGCCACTGCAGGGCAAAAAATTTTGGGGGTCTATGATCTAATTAAGACATGAAATTATTGAAAAATATTGTGCCAGGAATGCCAGCAGGACAAGGGTTAAGCTCAATCAGTCTGTCACTCACAGGTACCAAGTCCTGGTGATGAGCCACAGGGTAACACTGCCAGGACAATTTGGAATGTGGAGATGGATAAAAAGGCAAGTTATCACAAGTCTTTATAGCCACTTTGGGATTGTTTGAACATTGTGATTTGTGATTCTTGTGAACAGCTAGAGTTAGGATTTTCTATACAATGGTCCATACTATCCATGACAACTTGCTGATTGCAAATTCGGTTCTGTGTTTGGAAATAATCCCTGCGTGATGATATTTATTTAATATGATATTAAAAGCAAATATCATCAGTTTGGTCAGTATAAGTTTCAATCAAGAATGGTTGTTATCCAACAAATTTGTATGAGTTTTACCAACATGTGTTGCACTCACTGCTTTTTTATATATTACATAACTGTACAGCCATTATCCAATCAACATTCAGGAATACATTCTCTTAAATTAGTATATTACACTTAACTCCCTGACACATTTCAGATTGACTCGCACAACAGCACCCCCAGGTTCAAAAAGGCAATATCAGACAAGATGGAGGACATCAAAGACCAGGTCAAAGCTGTAACAGCTGCTTTTGATGGTATGTCCATGTACAATTGTATATATAGTAACAGTTGTAATTTCTAAATTTCCTTACATTTGTAATATTGAACACAATTATAGAAAAACACAAAAATGACCAATAAAAATACCTCCAGTCTAAGGACAGTGTGACATAAATAATGATGAAAAAAAGTATTGGTTGAGTTTGGTGCTTGTGGGTGTAGATGAGAAGGCCAGGTCTTGGCAAAATGTGAACAAGTCATTAGTGAGAGACTATCTAAATGGCAGATTGAGACTGGTGATAAAATATTGCTAAAGAATAATGTCGTTGAGAAGAAAGTGCAAATATTTTCTAGAGGAAAATACACTAGAAATTTATCCCCAAAACAATTAAATTTTTGTGTGCTGACTCCTTGTCCAACCTTCGCAAAATTATAATTAAAGCGTACATTGATCATGTAACTACACGTGAATGTGTGCCTTTATTCCATGCAGAGTCCATCATATCTAAGGGATATGACTTCTTCATCATTTACTGTGGGAAGAATTCTGCAGTTGTCAATGGAATCATGTCACATCTGACTGACCTGAAAATTACCTACTGTGAGCACCAAGAGCACTTCATACCAGGACGTGACATTTTCACCAACATACAAGACTACATCTCACAGAGCAGAAAGGTACTAGCTGTATTTTCTGCAGACTTCTTTGCTAGTGGATGGTGTTGTAAGGATTTGGATATGGCCATGGTACATGCTGCTGAGAAGCAAATTGAGCAGTTCATTGTTCCAATCAAGATTGATGATTGTGTCATTCCTGACAAATATGGTGATTTGAAGAACATCACCTACTTTGACCTAACAAGCTCTGAGAATGACAGTGTTTGGGAGCAGATTAGATGTTCCATGGCAAGTATCCGTGTTGCTTCAATTGAAATGAAAATCTGCATGTGTCCAGAACATCTGCAGAAGCCGTATAACAGTTCTACTGCAAATACTTGGATGTGATACTTGGATGTGATACTGAATGTGATATTGTAAAAATCAGTGTGATTATTCAGCTTGCTTGACTTGTGAAACTGGCTGCAAGGCTGATTTTATTAATAAAACTTGAAAACTTGAAATGTGAAAACACCTCCATTGGCTACTATCACAGTTTACAGTAAATGTACACATCCCACTTGTCTAGAGCATTAAGAATAGATATCCAATTCCATGAAACTGGCATTTTCATGATTATGCTTCTGTTTCATAGTCTGTTTTATAATGACATTGTATGGGTCTTTGGTCAACACAAATGGAGTCAGTGTGGTTTGCCTAAAACCTTAACTTTTGTGGACAGCTTACTGCTATGGAGCAGGAGTGTATGAATGAGTTTGTATTATGAGTTATGACATACCGGTACTGAGTGTTACTGTTAGTTGGTGCTGTTTGAGTTGCAGCAATATCTGTGTCTAAATTTGTATCTGTACCTGAGTTTACAGAATGATGCAGAAATCAAGCTGGAGTACTTTGACATTCAATATTAATATAATATAAAAGACTTTTTTAGTATAACAATTACAATACACTCTACAGTGGATGACAGACTGTTTGGTTTGCTCTTTGGTGTGCTTTAATTTGGCTTTTGCTTTTAACTGGCAAGAACTTTCTACAGCTGGAGGATGGAAGTTTGTACATATATATTATATACATTTTGTCATGATGATATGTTTATGAAGATTGTAAGCCACAGAATGAAACCTGCACATTATCTTTATAACATAGCTTTATGTGACATGGGTAGGCCTTGCTGGAGTTAGGCATTGTAGTTTCAAAGGACATCAATTACTTTTTAATATCAAGAAACTAATGTGTGATAAGTAGACAAAACACGAATTTCCTGACTTGTAAATTAAGTCAATATAGTGGAAGAAAAGTTTTAGTGTTTGATTTTTTTCCCAACATTACACTTTCTGTGGAGACATTGAAAATGTAGTGATACAAGAGTGCAGTTGTATGTGCAAGGCTATATATATCAGTGCTTGAACTTATTAATGCTTTGAATACTACTAATACTAAGTCAGTTGACAGTTAATGAGATGTTTGAGTCATGACATCATTATTCACACATGCCTTCCGACTGTTAGGTATTTTGGATAATGTCAACATCTGGTATAGAATATGGTGTTAGCAACAATTACATGTACATGTACATGTTACAACTTAACACATGTTTTGTATATACAGTAATTCAGGTCAAGTTTCAAAATCCTGGAATAGTGGACACAAACATCAGTGGTTGATGTGGAATTTGGTGTGTTTTGTTCATAAATAGAATTGTGTCACCCTATTCCAGGAGGCTTTCAAGCAAGTAAATTACTGACCCGTTTCAAAGCTGTGTGTTTGAGAGTGATTAAAAACCAAAAAGTACAAAACTGTGTTGTTGTACTCTTTTCTGATATTACAAGAATTTCATTGTTTGAACAATACGTTATTATTGCCATTACTTATAAATCTAGTAGAAAGGACAGTTAATGTGCTGACTGTTGAATTCAATAAATACGAAATTATAGCAAAAATGTTGGCTACGTACTCTATAAATTGTTATCTTCTAAAATGCGAAAGAGAATGATTGTGTGATAACTATTAATAGTTATCACACAATCATTCTCTTTCGCATTTTAGAAGATAACAATTATTTTATATTTGTGATATAGTGTATGTCAAATAATATAAATGTAGCCTGGGTGCCATCCAATTTGCTTACAAAGGGCTTCTTGTACTTTTTCAGGCCAGGAGTACAATCAGCTGGCACCCTGGATAAAATAGTATAACTCAATGCTTAAAAAACCATGCTATATACATGTATAGTATTTAACGAATACTAAAAAAAAATAGAAAAAATTATTTCCAGGTTGTCCATACCTGTCCTCATCCTCTCAGCTCCTTGCCAGACCTGCTGTAGTAGTCTAGTATCCCAGGCTCCATCTCCCAGCCGCCTGACCGAAGCTCAATCAGCTGCAGGAGTCTGTGCCGGGCTAGCGGCGGCGTCTTAAAACTCAGGAACCGGTCACGCAGGATGGCAAACAGGTCATCCATCCTGTCTGGTGCTGTCTGGTGTTGGAGGACAACAATCACATGACATAACCCTACCTCTCTCTATATGAATTGTTAATTGTAGAGCAAAATTATCAGGAAAAGAAAAGAAGGTATCTAATGATATCTGAGTTCAAGAAGAAAGACAAGATAGGAGTTTGCACAATTATATAACATTTGCATAATGTGATATTACAGATTCTGAAGTGGATTGCTCTGACCTGGTCCAGACTGGGTCCCATTTGAACCAGCAGGTTGTACAGACAGTCCACCTAAAGAAGGAAAAAAAAACATCTGAAAAATCCATGTTCTAACACCAAACAAAAGCCAAAAACTCACTGACAGTTGGAATTAAATTAGTCCAAGTCAATGTGTCATTTGAGTTAACAATTCATTCTGAACCTTGTTGTACCTGCATCTCATTCTTGAGTGGCCCCGGAAAGGCCAGCAGTGACAGGCAGTTAAACACAGAGTCTATCATGGTCATCAGGGGAGAACCTTTCACCTAAACACACAATCATGGAGATCAGAAAAGTCAACTATGAATACATAAATTTTCCATCGTATGAAGGAATGCAGCATTAAAATAGCATATTCATAATGCACAAAGTCTGAGTACAATCTTCTATCACACAATTTCAGTCTTGTAAATAAGACTAAATACTTTTAATACATGTAGTATCAAATTCTGAGAGAACAATACTTTAGGTCACCAGCTCTCCATATCTTAAAAAAAAACTAAATGCTTGACTACCATTGGCTTTTCAAATCTATATGCACTTAAGAAGTTTACAACATGGATGACATAAGAAACCAACCCTTACCCTGATGACATGATAGCAGAGACAGAGGAATCTGACGTAGCCCACCCAGGCCGACACTGACTGTTCATGGAGCGTCTCAGCCTCCATCTCCTGTTCTAACAGCTTCAGCCGCAGGTGGCTCTGGAACACTCGAGTGGGCACACAGTCATACTGTTCCCTCTCTACTTCAACCTATAGCAAACAGTGATTATGTAGATATCTCAACACACAGTCATACTGTTCCTTCTCTACTTCAACCTATAGCAAACAGTGATTATACACATGTAGATATCTCAACACAGAAGATTATTCTTTTCCAATGCTAACTATTTTCAGTTTCCAGTTGTCCCAAATTTACTACTAGTATTTTTAATCATTCTTGGCTAAACCTCATATTTTATGGCAAAATAAACAAGCCTGTCAACAGCTATGCTGTTCTCACCTTTGCATCCATTTAACAAATCCAGACTTCATATCAAACTCATTGCAGCAAAGCACTATTGTTTTTCTCCACTTTCTCCACATCATTATGGCTTCACCACATAATGTATCTGTATCTGTATCTGTATCTGTATAGCCGGTATAACCGCCTTTCGGCGTAACACACCAGCTTCGCAGGCACGCGGCGCGGCGGCAGATGGCTATATTACACCGATCGACTTGTTACACCTAACCCTTGAACTTCTAGCTCTAGACATTGTTTAAAGCTATCTATTGACAATGCCCCTACTGTACTTGGTGACAGTGAGTTCCACTCTGCGATAGTTCTAGGAAAGAATGAATTCTTGAACACCTCAATCCTTGGTTGATAACTCTGGTACTTGAAAGCATGGCTATTTCTTGTTCTCTTCTGGGCTGGTATTAGGTACTTAGTAGTTGGGACATCCACCAGTTTATTAGTCATTTTGTACATCATGCATAGTCTGGACATCTTTCTTCTGTCTTCCAGTGAGGTCCACTGTAGGTTTCTTTTCATTTCCGTGACACTAGCACCTCTTTCATAGTTGTTCATACAGAATCTTGCAGCTTGATTCTGTACCCTTTCCAATTTGTCTTTGTCTTTCTTTGTATATGGATCCCATACTGTCGCAGCATATTCTAGGTTCGGTCTTACAAGTGACGTGTATGCAAGTGATTTTACTCTAGTTGGACATGCCCACAGATTACGTTTAATCACTCCCAATGTCTGTTTCGCCTTAGTTGTGATATTATTAACATGTGCACCCCACTTCAGTCCGCTTGTCAGCGTGACGCCCAGATACGGATGGGTTTTTGTGGTTGCTAAAGCCTGACCACAAAACTGTAGCTAGTTGCATGTGGTGTTCGTTTGTTTGTTATGTGCATAATGTAGCATTTTTTGGGATTAAACTGCATGAGCCATTTGCTTTGCCATTCTTCCAGGGTGTTTAGGTCTTTTTGGAGAAGTTGTGAGTCGGTCTGTGTAGAAAGCTCTACATACAATAGACAGTCATCGGCAAATAACCTCACATTTGAGTCAAGCTGATCTGGTAGGTCATTTATATACAAGAGAAAGAGCAATGGCCCCAAGACGGTTCCTTGAGGGACCCCAGACGCTACTTTAACTGGAGCCGACGCCTTCCCTTCAACCACTACTGTTTGCTCCCTGTTGGTCAGGAAAGCCTTTAACCAATTCAGCGTAGGGCCTTGGATTCCATAATACTCCAGTTTTGAGATGAGCCTGCCATGGGGGACTTTATCAAAGGCTTTAGTGAAATCAAGTATTGCTAAATCTACCTGTTGTTTACTGTTTAGTGCGCCAGCTATGTCATGGACTGTTAGTATAAGCTGTGTTTCTGTGGACCGTTTGGCTCTGAATCCATGCTGGTAATCCGTTAATATACTGTAACTTTCTAGGTGCTTCATGATTTGGATATGGATAATATGTTCAAGTAGTTTGCAGGATATGCAGGTCAGTGAAACAGGTCTGTAGTTGCTGGGGACCGCTCTATCTCCTTTTTTAAAGATGGCGCATATATTTGCATCCCTCCAGTCTTTAGGGATTTCTGCAGTGTTTAGCGAGTGTTGGAAAATATTGGTTAGTACAGGCGCGATTTCACTAGCTGTCAACTTGAGGAACCACGGTGGTATTTGGTCTGGTCCGGATGCTTTAGAGGGATTGAGACCTTGAAGCATTTTTTCGACACCATCAGTAGAAACTACTATGGTGAAACATATTTGTGTTCCCTCATGTTTCTTCTATCCAACTGTTGCATTCTTTATAGTTATATGTCACTTCATAATAGTAATATCAATGCATTGTTTTCCCTTGTATTTCTCCTTCTTTCACTGACATATCGTGAAATGTAGTGAAGCTACAATGTATGCTGCATTTGCTCCAAAGCAAATGTCGGCCTTTCTAGTTCTTGCTCTTTTTTTTTCTGTTGCTTGAACTGACCTGGATGATGGCATGGCACAGCTCTGCCCCTGTCCTGGCCCAGTCAGGCTCCTCCATGGCTCTCCACATCAGCACATTAAACACCTGGCACAGGTCCTGTTTTCTCAGGGAGGTAGGGTCTGAAATAAAGTACAACTCATCATCACTAAGATTATTTTCAGTCATCAGGCCACACCAATTTAATTTGTTGTTTCTCATATTCGCCCTGATTTTTGGTTCTGAATCAACTGCAAAATGCTCAATGAAAGACATATTTTGGCCCTAACGGTTGAAGAAAATCCTTTTCTTTCTAGCTGTTACAGTTTTTCAATGTACAATGCAACTTTGTTTCATTAAAAGTTCAAAATCTATTGCTTTAATTATAAACCAGCCTGGTATGTTGACCTCATGGGTCATATTCTAACATTTCCGGCCTTCATGGGGTACCTTGGCCTGTTTTTTTATTTTTATTTCGCCCTGTTACCTCATTTTTTTTTAATCCGAGAAGCAACAAATTAAATTGGTGTGGCCTCAGCTTTATAGAACCGTGACAAAAAGTTGTATCCAAGACATATTTCATGGTGAACAGGTAGTGGCGTCCAACCTTGTCTAAGCTTTGGTCCGCTCTCAATGTCAAAATAGCGGGATAACGGCATTGTGAGTGAACCAAAGTTAACAAGGCTGGACTCCAGGTTAACTTAGTGCAGCATCTCATCTTAATCTTTTTTTTCTAAAACAGTTTTTACAGGCAGTAAGATTGTCCTCCTATAGATTACCACAAGTTTAATATACCATCACCATGCATATAATAAGCTTACATGGCAACTTTTGCTACCGGTATTTTCCTGATTGCCAGAACTACACATTGAACATGCTTGCTATGAAAATAACAGAATCAATGATTGCTACATACTAAGTTAACTACCCTGTCAACTCAGTTACCTTGAAGTGCCTGTCTTATGTACCACTGAGCTTCCTCCCCAAAGCCATCAATGTCATAGTTGTTGGCATTCTGATCACCACAGATACTGTGATCTGGTGAGGTTGACCTCTGCTGAAAACTGCTCATCGTTTTGTCTTGTTTGTTACTTGTAGAAGAGAATCTTTGGGTAGTCATCTCTTCTTCATCATCAGTAGGTGGCTTCTTTACAGTTGTGGTCCCTGAAAATGCCAAATGTATACACTTCTTCATCATGCTGTTTTAATTTTCTACATAAGATTTTCTTGTAAAACATTAACAATTGGAGGAAGTCTTTAATTTCAGGACAGCAGCCCAGTAAAATTTAAAAAACAAGTATTTCTACTTTCTTACTGATGATTTTAATTTTTATCACAGATCATACTTACCATTTGTTGCTGTTTTTTCCCTGTTGGCTGTGATGACACCAGAATCCCCACTGCTGGATGATTCGAGTGATGTAGAACTGACTGAACTACTGGGGCTGACACTTCTCTCTCTCCTGGCTTCAAAACACAAATACAAACATTCAGAATCCTCCAGTTTAATTCTTTAAACCACCTTCAACAATAAGTGAACATGGCTGCAGAAATTAACAAATAGTAATTTGTAAACAGCCAATAATGTGCAAAATCCATGCATGTGTAAGGGCTTTCATAATGTCAGTAACATAACAGGCACAGGGAAATATGTAGTTTCTAACATTGTTGGGTCAGTATGCCAGTTGACTCCATTACACTTAGGGTATTACCAGCACATTATTTATGGTGAAGGTGCAACTGTCATTGCTTTAACTGTCAGTGGTTTAAGAAAGGGAAAGGGGATGAAATATTTAGTACTAGTTAAAAAGAACTGAGGAGAAACAGTGCACATGGAATCTAGTGGACATCTAATTACATTATATTAGGTAAATGAAGAGTTGATTAATACAGTATCTAACGTTATCCATTAATTAGCATTACATTCTAGTCATAGCTATGTCAGTACGTATTTATCAAGAAAAAAGTTTCTTTTTTAATTTTCAGACATTGGGCAGTGCCTTCAATTAGGATTCTGTAGAATTTGAGTTAAAATCAGTGGCTATTGTTGTAGGAAGTGGTCAGCACCAGGGGGACAGTAAGTCAATTGTGTGGGCCTCTTGACCGCCGTCTTCCTCATCCCAGCCAGCTGCCTCTTCGCTATCTTCTTCTTTTCCGCCTCAGAGTCCTTCTCTGATTGGTCCCTCTTGACCAGCTGTTTCCTGATTTTGTGCACAAATCCGTGACGCAGGTCCAGTCCAGGAGAGGGCTTGACTTCCATTCTTACAGGGCTCTCGTGAGTTACGACACTTGAAGCAGGGGTGGAAATCCGGGATAGGCTTGGAGGGGGAGGGCACTAGTGTACTGCACTACTGATAGAGTTTAACTACGAGTAGCAGTAAAAGACCTAGTGAGCACCTAAAGAGACAGAGGAAGAGGGGAAACAGCAGGTTCAATGTTAGCTTTTACAACAGTAAAAAAGTGAAACTAGTAGTTACTAAAAGATAATAAACAAGCACTTACAAGGATGTGATTTTAGATATGTAAGTAAGTGGCTTTCTTTCCCCTGGTTATGTGGGACCTGTGTCAACACTTTTAGGGTTTAGTAGCCACTTGTGTAATCATTATGTGTTGACATAAGATTAAGAATGCTCCAGACTAATGGTTTCAAGCCGAAACAGGAAACTACAAGTACTACTACTAGCTGCTACCTGAAAGGGATATCAAACTAAGATGGTCCTGTACATCCACATGAAAAACAGTACCAGCTATTGTTGTGCTGCTGAGTTCATTCAAGTCTTGCTTTGTAGTCCATTTTTTGCATGCTAATTTTACTGGTGAGAAGTGTTGGAAATGTATCACACCTGGGTGAGACCATGTTGACAGTACCCAGTATTGTCATTTTTCACAAAAATGATAAAAATAACAGTCAACAGTTAAGGCAGATCTTAATATTGAAGCATAAGATAAGAGTAAAGCTAATATTAACTCCGGGAAAACTGAGAGAAGAAAATTCACATTCAAGCACAAATTATGTTTTTCTTCATCAAAATCAATGAGGTTTCTGCTTGTATTTTTTTCATGCATAATTTAAGAATTGCTGGGTGTTGGTTTGCATTGGGGTGCGAAATAAATTTATCTATTGACAAATATGCAGTGTCAGCGTGGACGACGTAGAAAATCCAACTTTCCTTGAAGAAATTAGGCATCAAAGACAAAAGAGCATTAATTTGAAACCAGAATGCCACATTCAGTCCTACAATTGATTAAAAATAGCCTGTTTATAGGAAACATTTCTTTACGTTTGTTTCTTTGCGTGCAAACGAAAGAATTCTGAGTACATTCCAGGCATATAAAAATTTGGGGCTTTTGACAGTTACTTACACAAACTGGCTTCAAAATTCAGAAGTTAACGTTATGTTTCATGACTAAAACTGAGACTAGTTACGAAAGCTGCGTTTCTATAAAAAGGGAAAGAAACACACCGGAAGACTAAAAAAAAACACACTTACCACGTATATACAACAGTCCCTGAAGTTTAGACGTGCTTGTTGTTGTTTTCGCCCGCTGGTTCGCGACTGTAGACGAAGTACAACACGCCTCCCAACACCAGCAGGATCAGCAGAATCAACGGGAACGCCTCCAGCAAGTGATGCAGGTGATAGTGGACGGGCATCCCGCCAAAATTAATGATCTAATTAAAGACAGATGAATGCAAAAGTACCGCGGAAGGTATAAACTTGTTAGCCCGGAGTGTTGGCGCGAATGTCGGTGTAGGTTTGTCCAGAAAACCCGCGAAAACAACCCGGAACCGCCTCCCGGATTCCGAAGACTAATGGTCTGGCGGTCAGAGGTCAGTAGACTGTTACATTCCTTGAATGGGTATCATATTGTGTAACAAAATGTTTGATACAGATCGTACAAAAAGTGAAATATTGCTACTAATCAAGATTTTGCATTTCATATTTTGTATTGTATACTTTAATGGCAAGTACCCATTTCTGTAACATAACTCACTCTCATTCATGATCCTATATATTTTTGAAGAGTGAAATAGTCCATCCAAGATGGCTGCCTTTTGATCTAACTTTGCTAGTTTCTCCAAGAAAATCACGCGCAACAAGTGTGCAGATCAACAAAAATGCCGTCCACCAAGCTGGAAAACTTCTTTATATACAACTCCAACTTTGGACCCAGGGAGGGTGAGGTAAGTGCTTTGGAATGTAAAAAAGAGAGACATTTTCTATGAATGGGGGGGGGGGCATTTTCCTACCTAGATTACGATCATATATAATTTAGTGTTGTCCTGATATCATTTGCTGTGTCATACTCCTTGTATAATTTTTGCAAAGCCGTCATGACGGTCAGGATATATTCGACACGTCGAGAAATATACCAAAGCCCAATTCATGTTCACAACTTTATAGGATCATAATGATTGATAAGATACATTGAAGCATCATACATATTTGTAACTTGTAAGTTTAATCATTGTGAACTTATTATCGTTGCATTATTTTTTTTTCCTTCAGGAACATAAGAAGATCCTGTTCTACCATCCTCCCGATGTCCTCCTCGACAACAAGATCAAACAGATGGGCCTGTGTGAGGCTATAGTCACGTTTACACAGTAAGTGTCAAAATGATGATCCATGTTTTATGACTTTAATATGCCTTTAATACCATGTAACATAGAATATAAGTTATTTCCTTAAAATTATTTTTCATATGCTGAATATGAGGATGAAGTTTCAGAATCATGATGCGTGATTTTGATAGACTGTCAACTTTTTGTCGCAACCGTATGATATCAAAGTTCACCTTATTGCAACAAAAAGATACCATTGGTTTCCTCAAACCATTTATCTTTGATATTGTACTTGGTCTTTATTGTAAATTTTGTTTTCAACAATAATGTTATATTATCATATAGCCAGGTGACGTTGACCAATCAGAAGGCTCCATTCCACATTCCTTATGATGCCGTAATGTCACAAATAGAGTCAAAATCGGGTATTTATTCATCCTAATCCATACATTAAACAACCCAAATAATCACCCGCATATGACCTCAGGTGACCCAATAGAACACGGCTCTAGTTCTAAAAAATCCAAAAATAACTTAAGTTGTGTTCCAATGACCTCGGGTGACTCCCATAAGAACACCTGTTCCCTGCCTGTGACCCAGATAGAAGACATAGAACGTGAACTCTCCCCAGTGACCTCAGGTGACTCCAGATGGTACTATGTTCTATGTTCTATTCAGCATGTGCACTGTGTCACTTACTGCATCAGTTTGGATAGACTATCGTGTAAACTATATGATAATAGCGTTAATGTCCCGCCCTTTCTCGGTGAATATGGTGTGATAAAGCCTTGTCAGTTGCTATAACCACCTCATAAAGCCACCTCGTTCGCTGCGCTCACTTGGTGGCTTTATTCTGTGGTTATAGCAACTGACAAGGCTTTATCACACCATATTCACCTCGGGGCGGGTCATTAACCCTTAATTAGCATGAAATTTCATCTGTGTTGGTATAAGTTCATTATGACAAAAAGGGCTAAACATTCTAGCCAACACTGAGTAAATTGGGACTTACCCAAATTTTTGGCCGGCTCCGTCAGCCTTGTTCATTGAATGGACCAATACAAGTAAAATTTGGGGAAGTCCCAATTTACTCAGTGTTGGCAAGAACGTTTGGCCCTTTTTGTCATAATAATGTAATGTAATTCTTCCCCCAGCACATTTTCTCCTGATCACCCCTGTGAGGCATTACACACCCAAAAGACAAGACAGCTGTTCTACCAGCCAGAGAAGGACTTCTGGATGATCATGGTCTGTAGACTTACCGTAATGTTCTACATACATTGTACTGTTTTCTAAGCTGGTTGCATGAGCATTCAATGTGTATATGATTAGTATATGTACAGAGTTTTGTAATGCTGTATGTACTATGATGTCAGTGTTTCTGTGCTTATGTTACAGACTGTGACCATCCCCTGCAATGAGAAAACAGGAAAAGATGGGCAGACATACATAGAGTATCACGATGAAGATATACAGGTGAGAAAACTATGTTAATGACTCTGAAACATAACTAGTGTAATCGTAATGTTGCCTACAGAGATGTAAAAACTATGCAAGCTCTTTATTATGGTGTAAGGGCTTCTTATGTTGGTGTCCTTCCTTGACAATGTTAGTAGATTAAGAAAATGCACTCAGGTTTAAGACAAATAACAGTCTTTGTTTCCTTCTCACACAGGATTCTGTATTTGATGCAGTACTTAAGACGTCTTACAAAATGTTCAGGGTAAGGGCATTTCTTAAGATTTTGGAGAAACTAAATCTTGTTTGTGTCTAATTAATATCATATTTCAGTACATTGACATCTATTTTGTCTGGCATATCCAACTTATATGCATGCATTTTTAATATGTATGTACAGTGTATTTGTGTATTTTATAACATGTGTTTTGTGTATTTACAGCTTTTCATGGGTACCTTTACTAGAATACTGGAGAGATTCAATGTGGAGGTCTTGAAACAGAGATTAGAGCACTTCTTTCTCAGAGTGAGTATTGGCTACAGAAATTTCATACTTCCCCTTGAAATTATGCTGTTTATACTGTAGTTTTCAATTTGTTGGACTGACTTATTCTTCTTTCATTTTCAACATGGTTGAATGTTAAACATAATATTTTTGTTTTCTCAGTACCTTGGTACTCTGAGACTAGCAACATGTGACATTCTGGATGTATTCAATGGTGAGTACAACTACTAAGTTCATGTACATTTGTATATAAGGCATGGAGTTTTCCACAGGCCCTTTAAACCCGTTCAAATGTGTATTACTATGTCTACTTTTTGTTTGTCTGTTTGTTTGTTTGTTTGTTTGTTTTTAAACACACTTTTATTACTGCTGTAGGAATCCACTTCCTTCCTTTGGACAAGAACATGTACCTGAGGATCCAGTGTTTTATCAACCTCACAGAGGCAACATTCAGGTAACATTTTCTTTCTGTTCTTCTTTATGATCTACTCAGTTATATCATTTCTAAATTCTAATACATTCAAACATTCAGTACATAATTGTATTTCTCCATGTTTCCCAGTCAGGTGAAGTATACAGCATTCCTGTACAATGACCAGCTGGTTTGGTGAGTACATGGCTTCAATACTTTACAAGTTTTAGTTGAAATGTTTGGAAGTCTTTGATACTTTTCACTCATTTTCCTGTACTTCTACAAGTGAAGACACCCATGAAGCCAACTATATCAAGGTTATAACAAATCAACATTTACTGAAACTACAACAGAGCCAAACAGATGATGATGAAAACTTCATTTTTTTTATATTACCCGTAGGTCTGGTTTAGAACAGGATGACATGAGAATCCTGTACAAGTATCTCACCACCAGCCTCTTTCCCTCAGCACTGGAGTCAGAGGTAGGTTTTCAACCACTGCAATGTAACAGTATATTTTTAAAAAAGTACATGTACTAAGCAAAGATGACATCCCTAGCTCTAAACTGTCAAAAGGAGCAGTCCTACAAACAAAGGTACTGTAGTGTCATCTGTTATATGCTATAGAGGACAGTATAGTCTTAAATTATCATTTACAGTGTTTCAAAATCTTTTATTAATGTCTACAGTACATGTAATTTTGTCATGTATATATTGTAACTTCTTGTTTTAAAACTAATACTAGTAAAAGCATTCCATCATACACAAGAAAACTGTTATTCAAGTAACTGAATATATTTTGATTTATCCTGTTGCTTGGGTAACAGTTGTCTTGTGTATCTCATTGCTTAGATGTCAAAGCGACCTCCATCAATATAACATTCCATTATTTTGCAGCTGGGAGGTAAGGAGTCCCCCAAGGGTGCAGCACCTGCACCCGCAGCTGGATCTGCTCACTATGGCAGGTGGGTCATTTTGTAGCTTTAGAAATAAATAACTTATATAATGAATAACTCTTAGGTCTAGATGTCTAAGTCCAGATTCTGTCTCAGTGTAGTTTTCTAAAACTTCAAAATCAAGGTGTTCATGAAGCTCATTCTAAAGGGTAAAGTGGCTACAGTTAGGCTTTCTAAACACTGTTTTGAGTTTTGTACAGTTTATGACAAGTGGTTGATGACTTTCATCATGTTGCAGATATATCACGGGCCCTCCTGACATGAAGGACCCCACCAACCTGGGGAAGGTGCCCAGGATCTATGTCAACACTGAGACTTCTTATGAGGAGTTGTACCTCATCGTGTACAGGGTGAGTTCTAGAAATAACACCTCACATCTTCTGCATACTGTGATGAGTAATGTAAATATGTAACCTGTTTTGGCCTGTTCTGGCAGCAATCTGGCCTGTGTGCCAAAGTGCATCAAAGGATCTCTCTTATGTTGTAATAGTCATGTGGCTAACCACTCTACTCAGGTCTCACTGCATAGTCACCATAGCTTGATAATTGAAGCAGTTAGTTAATAAGGCCTCGTTCATGATTGAAATGTGTTCCAGTTTGGCCACGATCCGAATCGAAACGGAATATATTTTTGCGTCCGTGATTCAAACTTGCACCCACACTGGAAACGGTTTCACACCTCGAATTGACTTGCATTTCATAATTCATATGTACTGTATATCACAATTTCTTTGAACATTTCCTGGGAACCAGGCTCGTAAGGCGGAGAGTTTACGCCTGTTCGGGCGAGTGGTCGCTCGTTCCCGACTCATGTCCTCCCCATAGGCTGTGCCCCGGACGCATCTGGCGCAAACCCCCACGGTCCGCCGCCCCAACGCCCCCGTTGGGCTACCACTCGCCCTCACGCCCAGGGTAGGTTCTAGTGCACACCATCCAGTTTCCTCTGGATCTCCTGATTTCCCCAAGTCAATATCTGAAGTCCCGTTTCCTCAGTCGACCAGTAATTAGAACTCGATGTCAAGATTGTACGATTCAAGTAGAATTTTCCGCAGTACAAGCCACTGCCCGGCGAACTATGGCCGACCGTGGCCCCCACGTACCCGGGTGTACAGCGTCGAACCGAAACGATTCGCATCCACGCGTTCATGATTACAATTCTACGAACGCGAATCGATATGTATCGTTTCAGACCACCTCAAGAGGTGGTTCAAAATAAATCGCAACGGAACCGGTTTGGAGCGTTCATGTTCCCAAATGAATTGATTTATTTTTTTAAATCGAATTGATTCGCAACAGATATCCAATCATGAACGGGGCCTAAGTGTATTACATGTACCAAGGAGCTTATAGGGATAACCTCCTTGGTATTACATTTCAATGCACAAAGTCTCAAAATCTTGTTAACTGCTCTGTTCCAGGCTCTGAGTGCAACAATATGCCTGATGGTAGATGGTAAGTTCTCTGACTATTTCATTGATAGCTTGGGGTCACATCTGGTACTAAGGCCACACCAATTTAATTTGTTGGTTCTCGGATTTTTTCAGAAAAAATATGAAGCGACAGGGCGAAAAAAAATAAAAATAAAAACAGGTCTAGGCATCCTATTATACTATATAATTTATAGCCCCAAATGCTACAATATGAGCCATGAAGTCAACACAAAAGGCTGGGTTAAAATTTAAAGTATAAATTTTGAACTTTTAATCAAACCACTGCATTGATAGATGGAAAAAACTGTAACAATTAGGAAGAAAAGGACTTTCCTCAACTGTTGGGGGCAAAATATGAGCATTTTTGGGTTGATTCAGAACCAGAATCTTTTTTTTTTTTGCAAATCAGAAAAAAACGAAGAGGCGAATCCGAGAACCAACAAATTAAATTGGTGTGGCCTAAGAATGTATAAGATAACTCACACCATTGGCAGGCTATTAGCCTGCCAGCCGCTAGGATATATTCAAATGTGTACATGTATGTTGCACCATTATCCATGACATAAGTACAAATGTAGTATGTTAACTTCTTACAGTGTTAAAATGCTGTCAATATTTTTTCACCATAATGTCACTTTTTCCCCAGCTTCTGTTGCCCCTTCCTTTGACCTGTACCAAAAGTTGGATTCCTTCATCGGTCCACAACTCAGCAGCCTGGGGTCTGACATCTCTGAGCAGTATGCCAAGAAAGCAAGCAGGCATGTTCATGTTCTCTTTTATACTCTGTACATTCCCTGAGATTCTATCCATGTAGACATGAGTATTCATTAATTACTTATTGAACCATTGATGTTCCAGTGCTCTAGCCAGCATCCATCTTTCCGTCATTTGACATAATTTTTTTTGCTCATGACAGACAAAAATTTCACCCAATCCGTCTCCTTTGATGGACAAAAATCTCATGTGAAGATATGGAAAGAGATTTCATTAAAATAAGAAAAAAATAGTCTATTGACAGAATGTTACCCTCAATGTGCAGGAAATAGTGTTTCAGAGGGTCAAGATTTCTAAATGTTCCTTTGTCGCTCAACATGATGTTATGTCAAACAAAATTGACATGGCTGGAAAAAAATCAGGCTGGCTAGAACACTGGTATTAGTGGTAAGTTGAAATTTTGACACTTTCTATTTGACAGTCCATACATGTAGTTTTGATGTTCACCCCCTTGTGTTTCCACACAGTTCTGATCCGGTGTTTAAGTACATCTACTTTAACCACATGAACCTGGCCACCAAGTCTACTGTCCACACTAAGAAGTCAGCAGTGACCTCCCTCACCAACATCCCTCCTGACATCATGCGTATCCTGGGAGATATCAACGCTGACTTCTGCAGGCATGGCGCTTCACGGTCAGTAGTACATGCAACATTGTCTTTGTGTCTTAAGTTTGCTTTTCAGTAAAAGACAAGACTGTCTGTTACTTCCCTATAGTTGTATCTTTTGGCTAGTGAGAAAGTTTGTCATACGTTTTGAAGTGATTGGTGATGATCATGAAGGCAACAGTGGTCATTAAAAATTTGATCTCTGCCTTTTTCCTTTTAGCATCTTTTAGAGCTGGGAATGTTTTTGAACCACAGAGTGCTTAGTGTGAATGTACAGTCACGAAGAAATATATACTGCACTGAATACTGAGTCATGTTGCTTTAATCCCATTGATAGCAAGAGTGTCTTAGATATCAACCATTCCACCTGAATGTGCTGAATTATTTGTTATTTTTAGTGCTGAGGAGGATGGTGAGACCATCATAATTGTTTGTTATTGTTTAGTGCTGAGGAGGATGGTGAGACCATCATGAAGACCATGTCTGACTGCTGGGTAGTGGGGAAGAAGTCAGACCAGAGAGAGTTCTACGTCGTCCTCAACCAGAAAAATGCCAACCTGATTGAGATTAACGGTAGGAACATCATCATAGTTGATGCACTGATGAAAGCCTTTACATACAAATGTATACAGCGCAACCTATGTTATATTGCATTTGCTTGTTTTGTCTACATCGTTTGCAGACAAAATTTCAATTTTGTTGTTTCTTTTGTGTGTGCAGGTTCTTAAACTGAGAGGTAGATGTGTTGAATTTTTCCTGTGTTGTATTTTCTACAGAGGAAGTGAAGAAGCTCTGTGCAACAAACTTCAACAACATCTTCTTCCTGGACTAGAAGCACAACAACTGATGATGATGACGGCTCTCGCAGTCCTTATTATCTAAATTGAATGTAAAGTAGCTGAAACTGACAGTAATACAATCAATGCATTGTTGTTGTTTTCTTATTTGTATATGAAGGCAGTTGAGGCTGACACAAAGTCTTTCATTGAGAAGTAGAATGTCAATAAGTCTAAAGACTTTTGCTGAGAAGTAATATACAATAAATGTAGATACATGATTATTCATCATAGTACATAAGCTATTGCGTATTGGTGTCAATGTGTATACAATTGACAACAATGATTTTAAAGCGAATAAGACATTATAAAGTATTAATTACCCATATGGGTCACTAAATTTTGTAAAGTAGATGGTTCATAGGTATAAGTATTGTATGTTATGCAATAACTTGTCAATTTTCTCTTGGGTATTAAATCATGCTGTCAGGGTGCTGAGCAGCAAGTTAGTAGCTTTACTGAACAGCCTGGTCTTTTCCCATCATATCTGATAAGACGTCAAAGTCATAACCTTGTGTGTCAACAAATCATAAACCACTGTCAGATACAGCCAAAACATGAATGTTAACTTTCTTTATTTCTTTATTGAGATTTTCCACCAGATACGTGGAAGTGGAGGGAGAACAGCTCCCGCCCAAATGTACATCAGTAAAAAAAACATTGAATTCAACATTGGATTATGCATTATACGTAGTACACATACATAGTACAATAGCGTGCACCTATAACACAGATTTCCAGTCAGCAAGGTGTTAAAGCTACACATGCTGTAAGGTACACTTTCTGTCAGGATAGCTGAAATGAAAAAAATGCAGGGCGGCATAATCAGTACAAAATGACATTTCCTCTGCGTGAACTACAGTGAACATTTATGATTATAGTGATATCAGCCTTGTCTTTGTAATGTCGCAAATGCAAATGTTGCTCCTTTTATGACTGAAAATTAATTGCTTGTATCTAAGCAACAGCTTATTGCTATATAACAAATGATGATGAAAAGCGACCCCTAGATTTTTATACATTCTTAGCTACAGGATTTCAATGAGGAACAAGATTTAAAAAATAGCAATTATTGATTGAAGGCATTTAACAACATGCTATTATGAGAACTAACAGATGTACTGGTGTTCTCCGCACAACAACCTACGTTGTCTTGTTAGTATAAAGACGACGGAAGGCAAGACTTGGACATACGCTGTGATACAATTTATTCATACAGAAGTTCCATGCAAGAAGATGACTCGTTTTGTCATTCTGATCTTTGCAGGTATGTGGGGTAACATTTTTTCATATGTTAAAGATTGCTTCCGGCGTCCCCATAATTGGCAAGTTTTTGCACCATATGGAATCAACTATTGAAGTGTAACTAAAACTAGTAAAAAAGACTAGACTGGGTACCATCCGGATTTTCGCTCCGCAACGCTGGAAAAAAATTTTCGAGCGTTGCGGAACGAAAATCCGGATGGTACCCAGGATAACTAAAGACAACCTGTTGATCTTACGGTAAAAGTATTTGTAAAGTTTATCGTTACAGCATACATGTAGGTACATATTACCGTGGTTCAATTAATTTCGTATTAATTCTTCTATAATAAAACGCCGGTTCTCTTTTGAATCGGCTAAAAGTACATAGACTGTAATGTGACACAAAAAAGTAAGAAATTCGGCATAATGACGCAGCTCTGTATGCTACTAGAAAAAGGCACAATATTAATGGCAAAATCTTCGGGGCAAATTTTTGTAGCGAATGCAAGATTTGTTCTCACTAGCTCGTTTGTATTATCACACAGCTGGAATCTTAGCCCTGGCAGGGGGAACTCCCCAGATTCTGGAGGAACGGAATGCCGGTAAGACACTGCTTTGTGTTCCCCTGTCACTGTCACAGACTTAAACTAAGTTAAAGACGCGTGACAGTTACAGTAATTTCGACGCTCAGGCCAAGGACGTCATAGGCACCTCGTTGCTCAAACTATGCAAAGTGGATATTTGGACTGAACACCTGTTATATTCATATTGCCTTCGCGCAATTTGTAATTAGATAGAGGACAACCGATAGTTTGTCATAGTGTCACGGTGTGTGAGTGAGTGAGTGAGTGTGTGTGTGTGTGTGTGTGTGTGTATGTGTGTGTGTGTGTGTGTGTGAGAGTGTGAGTGTGTGTGTGTGTGTGTGTGTGTGTGTGTGAGTGAGTGAGTGAGTGAGTGTGTCTGTGTGTCTTGTGTGTGTGTGTGTGTGTGTGTCTGTGTGTGTGTGTGTGTGTGTGCGTGCGTGTATGCGTGTTTGTGCATGTTTGTGTGTGCGCGCGCGCGTTTGTGTATGTTTGTATGTGTGTGTGTGTGTGTGTGCGTGTGTGCGTACGTGTATGCGTGTTTGTGCATGTTTGTGTGTGCGCGCGCGCGTTTGTGTATGTTTGTATGTGTGTGTGTGTGCGTGTGTGCGTACGTGTGTTTGTGTGTGCGTCACACTGTGTGCGCGCGAGGGCGCGTATACGTGCGTGCGTGTGTAAATTTCATCAGTCAGAAATGGTTATTACTTCTTGCAGATCCATGCTATAACTACCAAACGCTGAGTGAGGTATGGAGGAATGTCAACCACGGCGTAAACGATCCACCTGAGTGCGACAGAGGCATGAACGGGGAGTGGTACCGCTTCGTGGGTGCAGCAGGAGACCGCATGCCCACACAGCGGCCACCCTCCACACACAGATGTGGCGCTCATGCTCCATTTTGGATGAATGGTGCACACCCTTCTGTGGCCGACGGTGTGGTGAGCCGTCAGGCGTGTGGCTACTATTCAAGCGATCCTTGCAGGGCAACAATGATTATCCAGGTCAAGGCTTGCAGTGGCGGATTTTATGTGTACCAACTACCATCAACCTCCTGTTATTATGTGTACTGTGGAGGTGAGTCTTTTTCTTAACGAGAGACTTTGAAGTTCATGAAAGCGGTCGATAAATCGATAGTAACTTAAGGTCAAACAAAATTCTAGTCACCTCGTCAGCCCCATTATATATATCTCCGAGTCGGTGTCATGATGTAACGCTACATGTGCGATCATAACAGAACTTAATGGAGTAAGTCCTAGTCTGAGTGTCAAAAGTTCTTTAAAGCTACAACCAATGCGAGTCCTGACATGCCACCGATCTTGTGCCCTGGGAAAGGCACTTTACATGACTTTCCTCACTTCGCTCAGGTGAAAATCAGTATTGCACTGTCCCCTGTGTTGGTGGCGGCATTAATATATGTTGAAAAAAGTTGAGTGTGCCGTCATTACGTCTTGTGATTAGATGTTGGAATAAAAAAAAACAATGCGACTGTTACAAGTGTTCAAAGTACCGTTATTCAGACAAATGGGGAATGCCACTTGTTATGGTATCTAAGAAACGGAAAATATAGACAAAGATATGTATCAAGTTCAACCCATATGCAGCTCGTTTAAACATATGTAAGTATAGCTTATTCATGGACATTGAGAGAAATTGAATGGAGTACTACTATCTTATTCCAGAGACGGATCTGTCCATTAACCCCTGTACCAGTGGGAACGGTGGCTGTGCGCACACCTGTGTGTGGACCGGACTAGCTTCCTCCCACTGCGAGTGTCGGGATGGTTTCAGTCTGGAACAGGATGGGCAGTCTTGTGTTGGTAAGTTTGAAATATTCATAAGGTTTTAAGGTCATCGTGATGTTACTCATCATTATATATTTAGTGAAGGGTTAACGCCCCGCCCTGAGTTGTACAAATGTATACTGAGATAATCCCTGGTCAGGTGCGATATCCACCGAATAAATTTAAACCACCAAGTGAGCGTAGCGATGAGTGCGCAGTAACACCCTTGGATCCTACCACTGCGCGTGCCAACCCGAGAAAGGACTGCTAATCGCTCAGTGATAACAAAACTTGCCAGATGCGAGAAAAATCACTCATACCCTTTTAGCATTCGCAGAAAGAACTAACCTAGACATAGCATATTCAAGAAGACAATCTGCGTCAGCTAGAGCCACCGCATATCTTACGTCTCTTTCATGGTAGTATCAGCATTGCATTTGAGTTTTAATCAACACCAAAAGTTTTAATTAAACAATCGATGTTTTACTTGAACAGACATCAATGAATGCGCTACCGACAACGGAGGCTGTTCTCACCAGTGTGTCAACACACAAGGGTCCTACAACTGTGCATGTCCGGATGACGGACTTACCCTTGGGCCGGACGGACATTACTGCACAGGTAAGGCACCGTCTAACGGTCTATGCAACTAAATCAGTCATGTTTACTTGATATACTGCGATACATTATATAGGTGATTATGTTTACCCAAGGAAAACATATTGTTTTTGCTCTGTTTTCTCTTCTTCTTCTCCATACCAATAAGGTCAATGACCTGAACCAGATGTCTGTCACCATGGTAATTAGTGTTGGGTTACATCATGTTGCAATTTTATAGCAGGAGGGATTTAGACTCCTGTCTGAATGTGTTTGAGTAGGAATTAACTGGGCAGGACATGTGAGAAGGTAAACATTATGCATTTGCTGTGCAAAAGTTACCCTTTTAATTTAAATATTGTGACTGCTAGACTAGCTAGGGAGGAATTTTGAATTATATCTAAAAGCAACATATGAAAGCTTTCCACTCATGTGACTTTGCAATAGATAAAAATTCAGGAGATGTTTTGCATTAGATACTAATCTAAGAATACATTACTATGTACACAGTCCACGGTGCGGTTATCGACTGTACCAACGACTACATGCAAGTCGAACTGCCGCGTGAGACGGTGGGAAACCTGGACGCTAAACACCTGCACTGGGAGCCGGACCGGAGGTGCGGGGCTACGGCTAACGGGACACACATCCGGCTGCGTACCGGGCTGTACGAGTGTGGCACACAGGTCGGAAAATAGACGTCTCTCGGAAACATTTGCTATCATAGTTGTTAAACTTGTAGTTCCTATATATAACTAAAAAATATGATTGTAGTACTATGCACACTGCACAAAAAATTAAAGCATCATTATCGCTACAAAAACTCTTCAAATATGTTAAACGTTGCAAAGAAACAAATGAAGAGGAACACTGCCACTATGATTGCTATTATATAGATAGCGATACCAGAAATTTTTATTTACTTATTCTATTTTCCATCATACTTATACGGGGGTTCCCACTCAATGATAACACTGCTTTTCAGTGGGGCACTGTATTACACCAAGGACATTATACTGTCCTTGATTACACAAATAAACAAAATACATAAACTCACGTACAAACAATAAAATTAAGATACAAATGAATGATAACAATAAGAAAAACTAACTAACTAACCAATAACAATAATAACTAATAATGGTAACAAAAAATGTACAAATTCATAGTCCAGTCAGTTTCTGAAAGCAATAGCACATCTATTCTACAGGTGGAGTTTACTCCGGATGACGTCATCTTTTCCAACCGCATCGTTACCCATGGCAACTACACCGCCATGTTGGATGGCGTCATAACCAGAGGTGGTGACGTCGACATCCCGGTCAGGTGGGTTATCTGCAAACGATTTTAAGAATTATCATGTTTGTTCTGAAACAATAACGTGCCAATATATAGTATTCAACGCAAATATTAGAGTTGTAAATTTAGCCATGTTGTTTTGATTATATGGATGACATATCCGCGCGGGCATGAATTTTCGGCCGTTTCCAAAAAAAGTTTTCAACCATACTGTAAATCGTACAAAACAGTTGGGAAATTAGCAAATATATACCGTAAGCTACAAAAAAAATATTGGAAAACGATACCAATATCGTAGAATGGCAGAATCAAACGAAAAAGATGTAAAAGAAATGAATTTGAAGACTAGATTATTCGCCATACCATACTCTGTGTCATTTGTTTAAACTTCATAACCACGTATATTTCATAATGAAAGCAACTTTTTTTCTGCCAAACTTTTGTTAATTCGCACGCGCGCATCAGTTTTGGGGTTCCAAGAGGATGTCATCCATATAATCAACATGGCCTCAGCTGGAATCCTTTTATTTCTTCATGATACCCTGAAGGTGTGTGTACCCCCGGAAAGAACTCGTCCACACCAGTTTCCAGCCGGCCGTGCGGACGCTAAGCTTCACTGAGCGGGGAGTCGGCACCCTGACTCTCCGCCTGGACGCCTTCCGGACCCAACAGTTCCTGCAGCCGTACGGAGAGGCAGACTTCCCGCTCAACATGGCTCTACGGTCCGACATGTTCCTACAGCTACAGGCTGAGGGGCATCAGCAGGTGAGGAATTTATCACTATTTTCTGTATTACATGTACATGTAGGCCACACCGATTGTGTTTTGGTCCTCTTTGTAAATTACTCACCATAGTCGTTCAGGGTACGATTTGCTCTCCATGTTGTAAGGCCATGTTGATTTGATTATATGGATGACATCCTCCGGGAGCCCCAAAACTGATGCGCGCGTGCAAATAAAAAAAAGTTTTGCAAAAAAAAAGTTGTTTTCATTATGAAATCTACGTGGTCATGAGGGTTGAACAAAGGGGACAGAATATGGTTTGGCGAATAATCTAATCTTCAAGTTCATTTCCTTACAATTTCTTTTTTTTGCGTTTGATTTTGGCATTCTACGACATTGGTATAGTTTTTACTTATTTTTTTTGTAACTTACGGTATATTTTTGCTCATTTTGCAACTGTTTTGTACGATTTACAGTATGGTTGAAAACTTTTTTTTTTGAAACGGCCGAAAATTCATGCGCGCGCGGATGTCATCCATATAATCAAATCAACATGGCCTAATGTCGAAACGCTAGACTGAATGTATAACCCGTTAGCCTCTACCAGGCTTCAGGAAACGGCTGGTAAGAGTAGAAATCGGTCAAATAGAGAGATAACATGCCGAGGCAGGGAGTTGGTCCGCTAGAGAGTACATTTTGACGCTCCAGCAGACCAACTCCCTCGGCATGTTATCTCTCTATTTGACCGATTTTTACTCTTTCCAGTCGTCTCCTGAAGCCTGACAGAGCCTGGTTTTATAAGTACAATGTTTCATATGGCATTCCCTTTAGGATGATGAACTGTCTGTACTGGCCGAGAGTTGTGTGGCCACTCCCTCCATGAACCTGAATGACCAGCATCAATACGTTCTGGTGGAAAACGGGTGAGTCATCAATTGCAAACTCTGTGTATCCATTCCTTGACCAATTTAATCGATATTTGGCTGCTGACAAGTGTTGAGTGCGTCCCTGATTATCATGAAGAATAAGAAGCAGCTCAATGCGTTTTCTCCTTCCGCCTTCAGATGTCCCAAGGACGCGACGTTCCAAAGCTTCTCCAGTCCGAACCCAGCCGTCCAGCGTTTCGGCTTCCAGGTCTTCCGCTTCGTTGACGACCAGCCCGTGGTTTATGTGCATTGTGAGGTGGGTAAATCATTTAGTAGACTCCTGAGAGAAGAATTGTGAGTGTTAGCAGGTGTATCCCTCCTTCACGCCATTTTGATAGTACTTTGCAACACTAAGGCCTTGTTCACACGAAACCGCCTGAACCGCGATTCGGGCAAACCGCATTCTTCGCATCTGGTCCACGTGCCACACGTTCCCTTCAAACCGTGCCCGAACACGAGTTGCCAGAAAACCGGTGAAATCACATTGGAATCACATTGCATTCAGACGTAAATCGCGATCCGGTGAAACCGGTTCGAAACTACCTCCCGAGGTGGTTTGGGATCGAGGCGCTCTTAATGCGATTTGGAGCGTTCAGGGGACACTTGAATCCGGCTTCGGTGGAATCTGGATCGAAAGCGCTTACAGCGTATTCGTGTGAACGGGGCCTAAGGAATGTCCATGGAGAATTTAGCTAGAAATAAATAAAACATCAAATCATTTATGGGACCATTGTGTTTGTTCCCCAATGCTATCAGGTCGTTGTTTGCAACGCTACCGACCCGAACTCGCGGTGCGCCCAGGGCTGCATTAGCAATGCCAGGAGCAAGAGGGCGCTTCAGATGACCGGTCGCCACTTCATCTCCCAAGGACCTCTGGTGTATGGCGGGAACGGTGGGTTGACTTGTCATATACTAGTATTTGTCATAACACGCTTGAATGCAGTGGTAGACAAAGGCAACAGCATTCTATTGATGAGCTTAATATATATATGTTTTACCTGATGCTTGTTTCTCTGAAGATAATACTTCCATTTATGAAACAAGTTTGAACTGCAATATCCAACCAAGTCCTTGTCCAACACAATGAAGAAATTGGACTCATACAAATATTCGTAACGAAGTTTCATAATGATTTTTAACTCTACCAACACAGATAAACTTTCAAGATAATACTTCTATTTACTATTTTGGCATCAACTAGGGTCATTTAAAACATTTCAACCACCTTAATGTATGGGCTTTGTTGAACCAATCTATTTGAAATCCTGCTAAAAGAACTTTCCGCCTTTAAAACCTTGGCCAAGAAGGCCATGTCTTCCAAAGCATTTATGTGTGTGTGTGTGTGTGTGTGTGTTAGGCAGGTGTGTGGCTGTGTGTGTGCATGTGTGTGTATGCGGTTTAGCACGATAACTCATGAATGGTTAACATCGTTTGGTGAAGGTATGAGATAGCAGAACTCTTGTTTATCTTTGTTGTTCTCATCTGCGCAGTAGAGAAGGGGTGGGGCCCTGTGACACCAAGCCTAGTGGCTGTGGGAGGGCTCCTGTGCTGCGTGCTGTTCACGGCGGTGGGTGTGGCCATCGGGAAGCGTCAGCGCCGCCCGCGGTACAGCGCCGTCCCCTCCACCGACCAGGAGTGATCCACACTCCCACGGGCACGGCAAGATGCCACGCAAGCTTAAGACAGCAGATTGTCTTCAACGCTACATAATTAGACACTTTGTAGTTTAGATGCAATAAGAAAATAAATGTTTAAAGCGCATGAACCACAACTGTTTTGGTCTTATTTGTGTCATGTAGTAGCTGATTTTATTCAATGCCTTGTGGATAAGGATAGTGCGTCTAGTAATGTTTTATAAAAAGCGAAAACCCAACTTTCATTATCCACCTAAAACTGCTCAATGCAATGTCAGTCTTTACACCTGTGTTTGTCAGTAGTACATTCATTTTGCGTTTAAAATTAGGAAAAGTAAAGAAAGAGATAAAATCATTAACAAACTATTATTTTCAAACTTCACCTTGTCTCGTCGTCATCTTGAGGGTCAGGGACTATATGTTAGCATGGTTAAATGTTTAGAAACATCCTAGTTCTAGTTCAACTTCTAGCGGGATACTCAAGAGAAGCTAAAGCTGGGGAATCTATTATAGTAGCAATGGTAGCAAGACAATACATTTCATAACAAGCAATAGACATCTTCCCTCCATGAACGAGGTTGGTGTTGTGTACAAACAAACCACCCCATTAGCAAGACCGGCAGGTCAATGACCCAAAAACAACCAGACCAAAGAAATATATAGCCTGTCAATCAGGAGGTAAAAATAGATACACTGTGGTCAAACACAGACCACACTACTATAAAATAGGGGTGATAATGTAGAAATCCTTTTAAATTAAGCAATACAAATAAACGACAACCTGCTAATGCACTCTAAAAGACAAAGAGACTCAACAACTACCCACATACCAAAAATTATACCAACCCATCCACCAGATTTTCCAAACATTCAACACAAAAAGACCAATGTTAAACATTTTGTAAATATCAAACGCAAACAGCTAGGAAACCCAAATTTAAACCACTAAACCATAATAATAACAACTACATGCTACCCTTATATCGCACAAACAGTCCATAACGCGCCAACAATAGAATAAAAAATTAAACTGCAGTACCAAGGTCAATCACCAGGGGCTCAAAGTCAACCTACACAATCTCCAAGGCCCCATCCATCAATCTGCCAAATATCATACATGTACAGTTCCTTTTCACCGATCTTCAGATATCAGACCAAAACATGAAACGGAGCAAAAACAATACCCCCATTACATGGAGGGTAATTATCATTATTACTGAATCTGTTACTGATGTAGATTAAAGGACCCCACAATGAACCTAAGAAATTCTGGGTCCAGTCATCTTTCTACAAATCCAATTACCTATTTTCTAGGTTGAGCCCTCCTCAACACAAACATATACTTGTAGAATCTGTCATTCATATTCCCAGTTATCATTTTTTTGAAGACCAAAAACACGTTATAAGCACAGAACCTCCTCTGTGGCAGCATGTTTTAGTCGCGGATCACTGCGACTATGTCGAAAGGCTCTGGGGCGTGTGTGGCTGCGATACGTCCCACCAGAGACGGTGTAGGAGCGCCCTTTGGGATCTTGAAGGTGAAGTGCTGCATGAGCGACGTGAAGAACAGGAAGAGCTCCATCCTGGCCAACTGTTCACCCAAGCAGATGCGCGGTCCTGGAGGGAAATAGAAGCATCATACAGTAATGAATGATTATGTCGTCTCTTAAATAATAAAACAATAAGCCCATAAAATACATTGTCGACACCAATTGAAAGTATTTTACGCACTACAAGGCTTCAGAATTCCGGAGCGGCAAACTGCGCTCCTTTAGTGGCATGTTATTTGTCTATTTGCAATTGTTTTGGTGGCCACATTTTTACTTTTCCCAGTCGCTTCTGAATCCTGGTAAATCTACAAGATTGGCACACTGAGGGTCTTACCCAATGTCCTGCGGAGCACAACAATTGTTGTTCTGCACATACAGTACCATCTATATGGCACCCTGTATAGGTAACGATTTGGGGGTATTTCTCGTGCATCGCATCACACCGCGGCGAATGCGGAAGTAACTATGCCACTGCAGGGCGAGAAAATTTGGGGTCTATGATCTAATTATTAGACATGAAATCATAATTGAAAAATATTGTGCCAGGAATATCAGCAGGACAAGGGTTAAATTGAACGTTTTTGGGATTGACAACAAACGTGCATTCGTATGTCAACGTAGCGATCATAGAACAAACCTGCGGAAAAGGGCATGACGTGGTCATCCTTCTTGTACTGTCCCTTCTCGTCCAGGAAGCGGCTGGGGTCGAACTTGTCGTGCTGAGGAAACAGCTTCTCGTCGTGATGGACTGACCAGATACTGGGGATCACCATCGTCTGCTTGGGAATGTGGTACCTGGATCAAGGAGACAGGATTCTGTGAGCTCAAGGAAGACTGGGAAATTACAAAAAACAAATAATTGTACATTGCCACATTATACATTATACATATTTATCATACTCATCATCATTATATATTATTGAATACATTATACGCTGGAAAGTTGTTTTACCTAAAGATAGGTCTAGAAGTCTACTAAATGAACAGGGCTCAATGGTTCTTGTCCATCAATGAGAAACCATTGATCTATATTTATCAGGAACTGATAATCAAAGAGTAAAATACATCATCTGGAAAGCCTATATATTCAGTAGGATTTGATTGTTATGTGATTTAGGTTTTGTTCCTGTATTGTCGAACTATGGGCAAGTGAGAGCATGTAAAAGATAAATGAATACAATATACAAAAGTAAAATTATTGGAACGATTTGATCTAGTTGATCTGTTAATTTTGATTGACAGATCAACTAGATCTAATCGTTCAGATATTTTTTAAGCTTAAAAGCTTGCATTCAATGATTTTGATGAGGTTTTCTCCTGTACCTGTACATTCCCGCCAACATAATAAAACATCCTACCCGTTCAGGGTGGTGTCCTCGGTTGTGGTGTGAGGCACGTTCAGGGGAACGATGGTCGCAAACCTGGCGACCTCCGTCAGGACGGCCTGCGTGTAGGGCAGCTGGTCACGGTGAGACATGGACGGGGTCTGTCCCTGTCCGAGCACGCTGTCAATCTCCTCCTGTACCTGTATGTTAGAACACGGAGTTAGAAGGATTCCGTCAATTAGGCCATTTTTTTTTCGTCTTTCAGAAAGATGTCTTCAACGAAGACTTAGTAACTATGGAGAAGAGGAAGGGGAGAATCCAGAGTTTCCAGAAGAAGCCTCAGGACTTGGAGGAGGATGGTAAGACTTCAAAAGAAACTTGTATTGCACTGCTATCCATCATTCAATCAAAGTGAAATGCAAAATTGTACCTGCGATTCAGAGATATTCGCAAGGAGGCGTTACTGTACAACCACGTCTTAGGGTCTGAACATACACAAGATAGTGTGATTGGGGCAAGGCTGTTATGCAGGAAGAGAGTTTTCCCTGGTTGGATGCATATGGAATAGCTCATTCTGTGATTGCTGATGCAAAGAGTGACAGGAAATGTGCCTTACTTATGATGATGATAATGAAGGGTCTTAAAAATGCCAGTAGTAAATGCCATGTAATTTATATAAGGACAGATGACAAGGAAGTGTGGTCAGTCACATTGGCCAGGTGGCCCTTATGTACAGGGGATGACTTGTACAGGTTTGAGAGTGTAACAGAAATCTCAGTACCTTTTGCTGAATATCCGGGTTCAATATCATCAACAAGCTTGCCCACAGCAGGGTGGTGGACGTAGTTTCGGTGCCCGCTAGGAACAAGTCAGTCACTGTTTGAATCAACTGCTCTTCGGTGAAGGTCGTCTCACTCTGGTCCTGGGCCTTCATCTCTAGCAGATAGGCGTCGATGAAGTCACGGATGTCGTTCGGGTCAAGGGTTCGCTGATGCTCCTTGATCTGAGCTCGGACAAAGTCGATCGGCCGCTGTGACACCTCAATCGCCTGGGAGTAAAAGGACAGTACAGCAAAAGTCTTTTCCTACCGATGACACATGATTAAGTGCTGGTGTTTGTTTGTTTGTTTGTTTGTTAAGGATTTCTATTAGTGTGAATTTCACACTACTCTTCCTGGAGTCCTTAGTGAATAATCAGATATTAAGTATTTGGACAATCGCACACCGGGTCATACCCCTACTCTTTGCGTAGGGACCTCCATTTAACGTCGTCCTGTCTGAGGGACGTCCCTAACCGAAGCTAGGTACTCATTTACACCTGAGTGAAGCGAGGAAAGTCATGTAAAGTGCCTTTCCCAATGGCACAAGATCGGTGACAAGGTGGGGTTCGAACCCGGAATCTCTCTTGGTTAAAAAAAGCTACCACTACGCCACACAACCCCACACCTGGTGTAATATGGATAGTCTCCATGTTCAATAGTAATATTAATTTTTCATACCTCTGGAAAAATTTGACTTACTTTGTTCCCACTGTCCAGGACGTATGTGAGGAAAGGGAAGATGTTCTCAGGCATGGTTAGAAAGTTGGTTCCGGCGATGTCATCAAAGTCCTGCATGATCTGTAAGAACTGCGGGTTGTCGTACTCGAAGCGACGTGCGAAGACCAGCGAGCAGATGATGTTGGTGGTAGCCTTCTGCAGAAGTCTGGTGATGTGGAACGGCTTGTCGCCCATGTTGCAGATCTCTTGGCGCAAGGCCGCGGACTCCTCCGAGATGTGGACCTCCAGACTTCGCTTCCCGAAGCCGAAACTCCTCAGAGTTGTCAGGGCGAACTTTCGTTGCTCCTTCCAGAGCGGACCGGAAGGGGCCAAGACGATACCTGCCATAGGAAAATTGACAACGTATTGCAAGTCAGGCTCTGAGAAAAGTTAGTGAAAGATCTAGATAGACACATTTGACGATTTGACAGAGTTTCAGAATGCGTGTAATGTTCTGTCTTGTTTCGGCCGCAAGAGTCTTCGGTGTTACAAAGCGTGAATGGATATATATGGCTTTACCACTATGTTTTCCCTTGTGTTTCTCCTGCTTTCACTGCCATGTCGTAAAATGTGGTGAAGTCATCCGCTACATTTGCTCCAAAGCAAATGTCAGGCTTTCTGGTTATAGACACCTTATCCGGACCATATACGATATGTGTATCCAGAGCCAAGGATTATACAACGATGACCACAATATGCATAATAGCTCGACAAGCTGTCCACACAATGGTTGAAAAGAGACACATTATTTTACGATTATCAATGGGGTTATCACATGTAAGATCATGTAACCGGAGTTCCAGCATTAAAAGATGCACCTTTCTTGTTGGAGATCTTGTTCAGGACCTCCAGATGTGCAGGTCTGCTGGAGAACACGTCAGACTGCTTGACCAGGGCCTGTCGGATGGTGTCATAACCCCCGAGCACCACAGCATCCTGGGGACAAGCAGGGTAGAGCATGGCACGAGTTGGATAATATAAACAGATAGTATAACGATCGAACAACGTGTTAACGTTGGTAGATCCGTGAATAGTTAAGTTTCATCAGGTTGGTAAGTCACTGAGTACCACAACCAAGTCTTTTATTCAGTCGACGTAGATACAGTTGGGATGCATTTATAGCAGCAACACCTGTCATGCCCGTAGCCAGGATTTTGAATGGGGGGGGGGTTTCTTCCCACTGCTTGAGGGGGCGAGGCGCGAGGTTCCTAGGGGGGTCCGGGGGCATGCTCCCCCGGGAAATTTTGAAAAATGAACCTTCTAAAATGGCATTTCGTGCGTTTTTGAGAGGATTTCAAAGAAAAAATTAGAGATAAATTCTTATTCAATGACAAAGGGAGCAGTTTTTCTACGATTCCAGTCCATCTTTTCAAGAAAAATCTTGGACCTTTACATAAAAAGTGGACCAAAAAGTGGACCTTTACATAAAAAGTGGACCAAAAAGTGGACCTTTTAGCCTTGTGGGGGGTTCTTCCGAACCCCCCGAACCCCCCCTGGCTACGGGCTGTGCTGCAATGAAATGTGAAACTGTCAGAATTGCCCTTAGGAAGGTCAACAAAACGTCGGCTGAATAAAAGACTTGGTTCACAGTGTAAAAAGAGTCTCTTTACTCAACAACATTGCAGAGTTAGAAAGAAATTCGCTGAATTTTGACCGAATCTATATATCTCACAGGGAACTGACCCACAATGGTTCTAACACGCGATGTGGGTCATCAGAATTAAATTAAAGGTTCTGGACAATATCCCAAGTATTATCAACGGATCAAGATATCTTCCTGTTTGAGGAAACCAAATCTGTCATGATACACAAGTGAACAACGATTTTACCAAGCAAGTTCTAACCCCAGATTGTGACTTTGGTGTAAGTGAAATTTGCTTATCCTCTTCCGGGCTTCAGGAGGCAGCTAGAAAGCGTAGAAATCGCCAAATAGAGAGATAACATGCAAGGGGAGATGGTCTGCTGGAGACTACAGTCTGCCGCTCTTCGGCTAAAATTTGCTACTAACCAGCATTCCCATGCGGAAGTACGTGACGGGTCCATATTTCTTCTGCCATTCCATGAAATCCAGATGGAGATTCTTGCTCTGCAAAAATAAAGGGCGAAAATCAAGAAAGTCGGGGGTCAGTTAGTGATTACGAATTACAAAAAATTTTCGCCACCGATTACGAATTACGTTAAATTCTTAGAGCTGATTACGGACAATTACACATTACGGCTAATATGCTGATTACGAATTCATGATGATGATTTTGGTTGTCTGCCTACGGATTATGAAGACTAAAAAGGCCTGATTATGCCTTACGAAAAAGGGCATGCAGGCACTCATATACATGAGAAGTCAAACCCTTCAGACATACATGTAGCTATAGCAGAATTAGACCATTACCTTTTATTGTGTAGATTTTGAATTCATTTTGTACTCTGTATCAAAGTTTTACTTGTTATGTGCAATTATCCTTCGGGCAGGAATTTGCAATTTTTTAAACTTATCTCTTATATTATCGCCACGGCTAGAGCCTGGGTGCCAGACGCTGGCGTTTCATAAGCGATGGATTTTTTTGGGGGGAGAAGCCCTAAATCACTACAAGAGTATCCGCCCAAACCCTTTATCTTTCACGCCTCCGGTAGTAAGGAGATAATTAGAGCCAGGGTGCCAAATCGGGGTTCGCGGGGCGTATGGCTTCTCTGGCCGAAGGGATTATCACTTATTCGCGGTAGGGGCTGACACCCAGGCTACCACGGCTAGAGCCAGTGAGTCGTGCCCTGCGTACCCATGCGAGGCTCGGCAGGCTCCCCACGACAGGCCAGCTCCAGGGTCCAGGCGGGAGGTTGCGGGGACGTCTGGAGTAGTAGTAGGTGAGGAGCAGGAGTAACAGCAGCACCAGGCTGACATGGGTGTCCAGCAGGTCCAGCATTTGGACAGCTGCAGACAGCATTTCTTCTCACTATTCTCTCACTGTTATCGATGTAACGTTACGCCTGAAATGTACGTTCAAGAGTTATCTGTGTTCAACGACATTCTAAGTTATTATAATAATATTGAAGTGATATAGACGTCGGGTGCCTCTGTCAATAAACGAAAAATAAAAACACGACTCACCGTCAGCTAAATTACGCACTCCCCTTCTCAAATCAGGCCCCTAGGCAAAGCCCCTACGCAAATATTTTGTTGTTAAGCGCTGGGTCGACGTCCGCTAGGTCATATCGCCTACTAGACAAAAATATCCCCTCCCTCTCTGCGTACGTGTGTGTAGATTCAGTTCATCAACTTTTACGTCCACAAAATTAACTCACTTAACAAGGATATAAAAGTAATCATTCATCCTTTCTGTTTTTTCTGCCACATATTCCGTATCAGGATCCCTCCCCAGTAGTATTCTCTCCACGGCAGACTCCTTTTGCCGATTGGACCCTCGATGGCCGGCTACTTTCTTTGGTCAATTATTCCTTTTCAGACCGATTTCTATGATTTATTCAGCCTGCAAAAGGAGTCATGCTGATAGTTACCACCAATGAGCTTCAAACACCCCAACCCATAGCCTCCGTAGCAGGCTTTATTAAAATATAGTCTGGGGGTTTGGCTGCTTTCTGATTAGCCCTGGGTTCTAACGGGCGTAATTCAACCAGGCCGGCTATGTTGTCTATATGCAATCACTGAAAATAGCACATAAAAGCTCCCAAAGACTATGAAGACCCCAACAAACCCCAGTTTTTGGCATGCTACGGAGGCTATCCAACCCACCCCTCATGTTTGACAGAGACCGTACGGAAAACGGAAAAAAACACGACTCACCGAGTTTCACACACTCCCCTTCTCAATATCAGGCCACTGTGCAATGTCGTAGGGAGGTCGATTTCATTTATAGTACACTGTGACAGGTCAACGTCCGATAGGTTAATATTTGTGTTTGTCAAAGTGGGTCGACCTTCGCTCTCATTTCAGTCGCGCGGGTCAACGTCCGATAGGTTAATATTTGTGTTGTCAAAGTGGGTCGACCTTCGCTCTCATTTCAGTAGCGCGGGTCAACGTCCGATAGGATAATATTTGTGTTGTCAAAGTGAGTCGACCTTCGCTCTCATTTCAGTAGCGCGGGTCAACGTCCGATAGGATAATATTTGTGTTGTCAAAGTGAGTCGACCTTCGCTCTCATTTCAGTAGCGCGGGTCAACGTCCGATAGGTTAATATTTGTGTTGTCAAAGTGGGTCGACCTTCGCTCTCATTTCAGTAGCGCGGGTCAACGTCCGATAGGTGAATATTTTGTGTTCGTCAAAGTGGGTCAACGTCCACTCTGTCAACGTCCGATAGGTTAATCTGTATGTTTGTCAAGTGGGTCGACGTCCGATAGGCCATGTCGACTATTGAATTTTGTGTCTGTTAACCGTGTTCATTCATCTTGTTTTGTTGTGACCTGTACTGAGCCAAGTGTGTCAGAAATGTGCAATAAATGTCTTCATTCATTCATTTATTCATTCATTGATCCAGGGTCAAATATTCCTCTCTCTGAGTCTCTCTCTCTAGCTCTCTCTCTCTCTCTCTCTCTCTCTGTGTGTGTGTGTGTGTGTGTGTAACGTTAGATTAAAGTTTTTACCTTTTTACGTCCACAAAATTAGACTTTACTGCTACATCTAGCTCAGATCATTCATCCTTTCAGTTTTTTTTCTGAATTCTGAAGTCCAGTCATGCAACACAAAGTACAATCTGAGAGCACATTTACATGCATCTGACATCTGCATATAGGTCACCTGAAACTTGTGGGAAAGAAATCTGTATACTAGTATTCAAGTCATCTTTGCCAGTAACATTATCAAGTTTCTAAAATTAATTACTTTTCTTTCATCATTATCGAGTTCAATGCAGCAACAAATATCTCTCTTAAACATGGAACCTCTTTCATCCATCAGCTAATAATGAAATAAATTATTGCTCCATTTCAATAATGCACAAAATGTACTTCCTTATGATAATCAAAATAGACTTGAATATATATGGACATTTCATCTCAATACTAAACTTTTGCTTTTCGGAGAGCTCTCTTTGCCCTGTACTCTTCAAAGAAGTTTTGCTTTCTTTTCTTTCTCTTCAGTGACTCTGCTCTACGTGATTGTTTCCTCCCCTCTTCTGGTTGGTCCTCGTTTGAGCTGCTGTCATCCAGGACAGATGACTGTCGCCTTCTTCTCTTCTTTGTTGTTGTGCACATTTCATCCTCATCGTCACTGTCTGTTTCTCTGTCAAGTAATTTCTCCTTTCTGATCTCACGTAACTTCTGCCTTCCCCTTGGCCTCTTCGAGCGTTTAAGACATTCTTCCTCCTCAGAAGATGACGACTGACTTGTCTGACTTCTTGAACCATCTTCATTATCTTCTCCGTCACTTGTTGAGTTTCCTTCTTCCTCTTTCTCTTCCTCATCATCTAAGAACCCGCCCAGGGAAGTGTCTGAGTCTGTGAAGTCTGGGTCATAGTTGTACCTGTTGTTCCTACAAGAGAATAACATCACAAGGATTACTTCTGACAATTCATGATATATTTGTTCCCTAACCTACTTTTCAAGCAGAGGTTGGGGGGAAGATTGCTCCACTTTCTGACAGGAGGCGGTGCAAACAAAACGCATACGATCACGCCTCCAACCTTTTAGATGGGGGATCACCTCAAGCTACAAATTTGTCAGAGTATTGCTAGACTGGTTAACTTGAGCCAGGCTAGTTAACCCTTGTCCTGCTGGCATTGTTTTTACACAATGTTTTCAAATAATTTGCTGTCTTAAACCAGGCCATAGACCCTTGACTTTTTTGCCCTGTGGTGGCGTAGTTACTTCCGCACTTGTTGCGGTGTAATGCATTGCTCGAGAAATACCCCCAAATCAAATCGTACATATTCAGGGCGCTGTATATGGATGGATGGTACTGTCTGTGCAACCCATATACATGTATATAATATAATATATATGGGCTCCGCAGGACAAGTTGAAATAAGAAAGATTATATGTGACAACTACAGTTATTCTTTTGTACTTGGATGTGGAATCGAAGACTACTTAGAGTATAGCAGTAGACAGTGTCATATTTCATAGTTTTAGATTGAGGGAAAACTATCAAAGACTGCTTATCCAAGAAATTATACTTTTTTTTAATAGACACTTACACTTTAAGGAAGTTGTTGACCAGCTTTCTTGGTCTGAGCTCTGCCAGAGACTTGCTCGGTGTCTCTTTGCTGTCTTTAGGAACGATGCGGCTGAGGACCTCGTCTCTACTGGGGAGCCGGAACTGGCGATTCGCCCTGGTCCTCAGACGGTCGGAGCTCCGGGGGGTCATCTTCTGTTCCTAAAGGTGAATGAAGAAATCAGTAGTTCGTGCTTATAAACCTGCATTTCTCCTGCAAGTCTCCAGTGTCACTGACGAAAGGTAGTGGATGCTACCTGAAACGTCTGACCGACGTTTTCAAAATCATATCCAGTTGCTTGAGTAACTGTTTTTTGGCATATCATATCCAGTTGCTTGAGTAACTGTGTAACTTTTTTTGGCGTAAATATTTGGGTCATCTAAAAGATGGAATTATGATTATTGTTGATCTGCACACCTTATCTTCATCATTATATTGATGATGATTACCATTCAAAATCCCTGACGTATATAAATGGTTTTGCCCGTTCATCTGTATATCAATACGGCGAAGGCATCCATATCGTATACATGTAACGTTATATAGAATAAATTACGACCGCTGGGTGTAACAATAGCTTTTCATACGAAGAAAATGTTAGAAACCGATTGACAGTACCTATGAGTTTTGCTAAAATGTATATTGGACTGTTTTGCATCATTTAGTAATACGTATTCTACGTTATAGCTTCTACTGTATTCCTCACCTGAGCTCGGCTTCCGGGTCCCGAGTCTTCGTCGGATTCCGATGTTTCTATCTGATTGAAGCTTCGTTTCTTCATCGTACATTTGTATATCCCCTTCGTGCACTAGCCTAGATGAACAGTCTTGCTGTGCTTCCCTATCTCCGCGTTTAAAGTAGAGCTGGAGTTTTTCGCGAATATGGTTGCAAGGCCGAACGTCGCTCCGTCATTTGAACTCTGAACTCACCTACTTAATAGACGGCATCGAAACGCAAACATATCTGCTCACCTGATTTTGTAATGTGAACGCTCTCACTTGCACATTATATCAATACCAGTAATTGCTTACGTTTTCTTAAAATTTCAAGTGGCTACCTTTCTTGCGTAAATTAGGTAAATATCTATCAAGAGGTAATTTGTGTCGTAATTTGCATAATTAATGAGGAAATGCCATAAATTTGCTGCGTTCCAGATTAGGTAATTGACAACGAATGGCACATATATGGCAGATATAATTATTTAAATTGTATCCTAATTTGCATAATTAATGAGAAAATCCTACAATGCTATAACTCCGTTGTTACTGTAAGCATATTGACATGTCAGGGTTAACACGCAAAATGCAACTGAAGTGCCTCTGATATGTACTTTGGCCGTCAGCTAGGTTGTTGAATGAAAAACAAATTAAGCCTTTGGTTACACACACTGAAATAATGGTTCCACGAAATATTTATTCTGATCTCTACCAAGCCGCCAACAAAGCAAATATCGCAAACAGTTCCACACATTTTAGATGATAATCATAGGTTCACGTTCACACAAAACCACTTGTTATAAGTCATCGGCACCTCATCGTTGATTTGCAAAGAGCCTTAGATAAGGTTTCATGGTAAAACTTTTGTTCTAACACAAAAGGTATATGTTCCCTAGAGTTCCTTAGATGACTGAAGATGGACGTCCGTCGCGAGGATGTTCCCGTCCCTGCCCGACGTGATCTTATGGTGGTTGACCAGTGGTGTGGGGAGTGTCCAGAGTAGGCTGACCAGTGGCGTGGGCAGTGTCCACATGCTGTGTTGACTGCAGAGAGGATAGAGTATCGATGGTTAGGAAAGGATCACCTTTATTTTGCTGGTTTTCTCTCAAGCAGGCGACAAGGATGTAAAGACAGTATTTGTAGTGACCCCCCATGCAGGCCCTCGTGTATTTTCGTCCGTTTCCAAAAACGAAAAGTTTCGACCATACTGTAAATCGTACAGAGCTTCTGCAAAATGAGCAAATATATGCCTGAAATGGAAAAAAAGATATTGTAAAACAATGCCAATGTCGTCGAATGCCAGAATCAATTATTCAAAGGAAAATCTAAAAAAAATGTGAAGAACTGAAAATGAAGAGTCTATACCATATGCATGCCCTGTAGATTTCAACATGAAGGCAACATTTTTGGCATTTCTTATTCGCATGCTCCCATCAGTTTAGGGTTTCCCAGACGATGTCATCCATGTAAATTAATCAACATGGCCTAAGTTAAAGTTATCAAAAGAAGGATATTCGATAGCCTCGCCTTTTCATGGTCGTGCTTGCTGGTGTTGAGGTACAACCCGGCAAAGGTTCCACCAATGATCAGCAACACCAGAAGGACGGCAGTGGTAACAGTAGCGCAGACCCAGCGAGAGGTACACACTGAAAAATCAACTGTCTGTAATCATACCTTTAAAGAATATAATACTTAGTCGACAGACGTGCAGGCAATTGTAGTATATGAGCTGACATAAATAGACATGACACAGCAAGACACACGCGCGCGCACAGATGGACACACACGTGTAACGTTACACACACACACACACACACACACAGAGAGAGAGAGAGAGAGAGAGAGAGAGAGAG